TAGAAGCAAGTATTATTTTATTTTATTAGAATATATTTAAATATTCAAAATATATCTATTTTATTAGAATATTTTTAAAAGTCAGTCAGGGTTGTCAAATTTTAAGTATGTGAGTCTTTTTAGTACTTCATGAACCTTAGATGTTTTTCTTTTAAGCAGAGATTTATAGGATGTGTGTGTGTGTATATATGTCTCAGAAAACTTAAGATGATATTGTACAACATCTGCAAAGTACACATTTTATTTCTTGCTTTTAATGTTTTCTTTAAGATGCTGTGCATTTCCCAAAGCCCATGCACAAGAGCCAAGTATTTTCAGAGTTAGGGGGAAAAAACCTTCAACTGTTCTGTTTCTCCTGTGTAAATCTGGCTTAACTGTGCAGACTTCATTGTACTTGTTATTACTGTGGATTTACATCTGTGTAGTTTACACAGCATAGTGCCAAGATAGCAATTTTAGTGGAATTTAGTGTGATTGGGAATGAAAGAATAGAGATGTTTATCAGAAAACTGTTGGGAGGTACTTGACTCTCTTGCACTGTAATTTGAGAGATCTGTTTCATTTGGACAGCTCTTTCATGTGAAGATACAAAGGAGTACAGTACTTGTGTATCTACCTGTGGCAGAACCTGCCAAGCACTGTCCATGCCAGAGACATGCAGCAGTGATTGTGTAGAAGGCTGTGCTTGTCCTTCTGGAATGTATTTGAATTCCAAGACTGAACGATGTGTGCAGAGGTAGGTAAAGTTGCATTTCTGATAGTCACATTCACTATTTCAGACCACTGCATTTGCAAGTCAGAGTGAAAAGCTAATAAACATGTAACCTTGTAGATATCGTGAATCTGTAAACTTGGAGGGATCATAGAATCCTACAGAACCTGTATATTGATAAAAATTAGCTCTTTTAGAGTACCGACACTCATCCAACATCTTCAAAGCTAGTTTCTACATATTATCTGGGTTTTGGCAAATAAGAGATACAAAAGGTGTTCACTGTTGTGTAGAGGTGCTACTTTGTTACTGATTTGTTTTGGAATATGGTGTATTGAGATCAATTTCTTGTATTTAAAAATCAAACAAGCAAGAAATAAAAAAAAACACCACAAAAAACTAACTAAAAAACCCTCACCAAAACCAACAAAGCAACCAATTGAACTCTGAACAGCAACTAAGTCATTGGGAATTTTTTTCTTCCTGCAGTTTATGTATTTCTTCCTCATAGTTATGTATTTTTCATCTACTCCAGAAATGAATGCCCGTGTTATTTTCAAGGAGTTGACTATCCACCTGGAGAAAATGTAATGACATCTTTGGGCAAATGGTAAGTTACTTATTTACAGTGTTTATTTTTTAAGAGCTCTGTCAAGTCATTCTGGGTGGTTTGTTGGCATTTTTTGGTGGTCTGTCGTTGTTTGTTTGTTGGTTTTGTTTTTGGTTTTGTGTGTTATTTAAAATGAAAAGTACAGAACAAGTTACATCCGTTTTCTATGCATGTTTGGACAGAGCTTCTTTAGAACCTAGGTTTTCAGGTGCTTATAATCCAATTAGGTGTTTATAATCCAATATACTGAAGTGCAAAGTAGAGAGAAAAGCCACTGCAATTTTGTACATCCGTAATAATGTAAAGAGCTCCAGAAAACCACAAATACACGCTGGCCGTCGATTCAAATCTGTTCAGCTAGATCTTCATTGTTATTCTCCTTCCCTATACCAGATTGTAAATCCATATCTATATGTATATCTTAATATATCTTAATTGGTAAGTTAGCTCATCTTTGCCTCAGGGCAGATTCCCTGGAGAGTACTAGGCAACCGACTCTGCATATGGGGCTGTGCAAAGTCTGGGCGCACTGTTGCCTGCCTTTCCAGATATTTTTTTCAAAGCTTATGCCAGACAGCAGTTATGGGAAGGGGCTTCTCCTGGTAGATTATTTGATTGGTTTCCTTTCATCCTCCTCCTTTAGGGCCTAGTTTAGCTTATAATGCTAAGCACTGTGGTGGAGATATGGCTGAATGCACACCAATCTGTGATCATTCACAAATGCATTGTTTTAGAAAAGAGTTATTTGGAATCTGGCAGCCTATGTTTCATGTGAATCTACTAATTAAAAATATATCTACTGGTTTACAACTACTAGTCTTGAGGATAAGAGATCTGTATTTCCTATTTAGTCATGACTTTGCTTGCCATGTTTTAATAAGGCTGTATACATACCTGTTGTGAGGAAAGGCTTTCAAGCTCCTTTGAATTGCCTTGTGCTAAGTAACACATTAGGAACTGTATAGGACTATATGTGTGGATGAACTGGAAAAAATATACACAACGTGTATTTTTTTTAATCTGTCACTATGGTTTTTTATTAGAAAAAATGATGATCTTTATTATACACTCTCCATCCTTTTTCTTCTCAATTGCTTCCTTTTTCAAACTTCCACTTTCAAAGTTGAATTTCTTCTCACATTTGTCTATGGAGTAGCTTTTTTTCTCTGTTCTCATCCAGTTCTTTGAAATATTTTCATTGTGATACCAGCATTGTATCAGCACTTGAGTCCCTTGTCATGTCTCCCTATCAGTGCGCTTTTGCACTGCTTTGCCTGTTGGCTGGGTTATACTGTGAAGTCCTTGCACGCTTTTCATGCAGTACTTTGGGGTTCGTAGACAGCTCCAAACATGACAGCACAGTGTCTGTAGCACATACAGAATTCAGTTCTGAATCTGCTAAGCAGTAAGTGTACTGGGGACATCCTAGCTATTGCAAAAGAATGGAGAATAGTGCTGGAGTTCATGGGCTCAGGTTCTCTAGTGAAGCACAGGACCTGAAATTAAGCCAGTGTTGCTACATTTTTCCCTAACAATGAGTTGCTATCAGATCTGCTAGCATTTTATAAAAGGCCTGGTCTATTTTGGCTGGAATTAGACAGGAGCAGTGTTAGGTTGCTCAGTGCTTCCTTGCACACTTTATTCACAGTTCTAAGGTTCAGTGCAAATATTTTTACAGTTATTTTGTAATGACTCATACTGCATGCTTCACTATTAAACAGAAAACATTCATATTTTTAGATCTTCCTGGCTTTTATGACATTTTCATATATTTTTATTGCAGCCATTGCAGGGATGGAATAATGAATTGTGATAACAACATAATAGGTGAGTGAAGAGAGAGAGGGGAAAAGATATTTTGGTCAAATGAATATGCATTCTCTAATCTCTGTGAACCTGTTATTTGTAATAGAAGAATGTGCAGCATGAATAACTTGCAGGAGGGGATCGATCATTTAGGAATTACATGTTTGGGTGATTGAAAGAAAGGCTGGTGCAAATCAACAGCGTAACTGTCCAAAATACTGTTAAATCTGAGCAACTTTCTTTTTCCTGTGCTTTTAAATACTTTTTTTTTCTTTTTTTGATTGTTAATGTAAGTAGGCTTAGCTACATGATGAAGAGCAGAACTTCAGTAGGACAAACAGGTTAGCTTTGTCTCATAAAACATGATTGTAGGAACTGGACACTGGCAATAATTTTTCACAGATATTTGTTCTTTCCCTCCACAAACCTTGAGTAATTGAAATATGGAAGAATAATGTATCTTGTGTCATACTCATGTAAAAGAATGTAGCAAGTGCTTTTTCTGTTACAGTATATTTTATATATGACTAAGTATTATAGCCCATACTGTTGTTCTAATGCTCCTTTTACTTCAATGAGAAAGACTTTTATTTGAGTTTTCAGCTCTAAAATTGCCAGCTCTTTGGCCTTTAGCAGAAATCTCTTCCCCATGCACTTGAAGGTAGTGATTGTACTGATTTGACAGTTATCCAGAACCTTTCTCCCTAATAAATAAATAAACGAAACCCTTGCAACCAACCAAAACCACTTTAAAACACTGCCACTGCTTCAGGCTTTTCTGTTACCTATACAAAGTATGCTAAGTGCAACCCAAAGGCAATCGTGCAATTGAATTGTTTTATTCATTGTCAGTGACTGAAGAATGGAAAGTCATATCTAGCTCTCAGACCTCTTCTTGATATTTGTTTTGCTTTCTGTTGATTTCTGATTCTCTATTGGTAGCACTTTGTGTTCCTGTTTCAGAGGGCTGATTCCTTACTGTTTAAAGTCATGTCCCTTACTAAACGAATATATTAATTTCAGTATTTTGTATGAGATTTTACAAGGGCATGTAGGAATAGAACAAGAGGGAATGTCTTTAACTGTAAGAGGGTAGATTGTGATTAGACATTAAGAAGAAATTTTTTACTGTGAGGGTGGGGAAGCACTGTAACAGGTTGCCCAGAGAAGCTGTAGCTGCCCCATCCTTGGCCGTGTTCAAGGCCAGGCTGGACAGGGCATTGTGCAACCTGGTCTAGTGGAAGGTGCCCGTGCCCATAGCAAGGCGGTTGGAAAGATGAGCTTTAAGGTCCCTTCCAACCCAAACCATTCTATGATTCTGTGATTTATAGGGGTTCTGTGAAACTAACTATGCTCAGGAGAGACAGGTAATGAGATGTTACTGGATGATATACCTTCGTGTTACATATTCTCAATCTACATCTAATGCACCTTTATGAAATACAACATTTCAGGTGTAAAGACTAATATGTTTGTCAATTCTTCCCCCCAGCACAAAGCTGCCCAGTTGGACAAATTTATATTAACTGCAGTAATCCACAAGTTGATCCTGAACTCAGCAGAGAGAGAACTTGCGAGAATCAGCTGCTAAATCTCACTTTCTCAGCACACCTTCCTTGTGTTTCAGGTTGCGTCTGCCCACCTGGGTGAGTACAGACAGATATGCATCTTTTTGTGCGCAAACATAGATGACCACCTTCATTAGTGATTGAGGAATTAATTCTGCTGAGGACATAATATATTTCTACTTGGAGAATTTGAGGTGTCAAGGTGTGAGCATCCAACTTGTGAAGGCTTGTCACACAACAATATGGACTGTTCAAGGCATAAGGAATGGTAAACTGAGAGACAGGTGGAGCTAAAGGTCTAAGACCTTGCAATAATGAAAACAAAATAACAGAAATGTAGAAAAGGCATTGCAATATTTGATCTAATCCCTCTCCTACAGTGGAATCATGTTTACCTAGACAATTTTTTTCAGATATCTGACTTCATATTTGAACATATCACTCATTTGAACATATCAGCTCATTTGAAGTCCCTACTACATTTGGAGCAATTTAACCTAATAAGAATTTTCAGGTTTGTTTCTTTTTCCTCACTTAATGTTCTCACAGAATACAGCTATGAAAAGATAGTAAACTGAAAGCTGTAGTATCCTGTATCCGTAATGAAGTTTTGAAATGATGAAACCATTAGGTGCTATAGTAACATTATCAACATCTGCTGTTTTTTAAATATTAGTTTATCCATTTTTCTGTTTAGGGGAGTAATGGGTGGTGGTGGAATTCTGGTATTAGAAATGTTACCTGCTGCTTATTTCATTCTTTTTACCTCCCTGAAACTCTATTGCAGACATTTTGTTCTTGGGACAAAAGTCTACAAGGCTGCATAAATCAGTTGGCAATAGGCTGTTTCCCAAGGGAGTGAAAAGAGCTGTGCAACTCAAAGCCTGGTAAAAACTCTCTACTGGAAGCTGAGAGAGTTAATTTTTTGTGTTCTGCTCCAGATTTGTGGGTTTTGCAGATGCAAAGATGTGTTTGACTAACAGGTGGCACATTGCTTCTAATGATGCCCTTACCAAGGCTATTTACATATTTGTGTTTCTGTGAATAAGCAAAGCTATAGATAATGAAATTGTAACTGAATCTTCAGTGTAGTGAAGTGTCATAGCTGTCCTTGGATCTTTGCAGTTCATTGTAGGTTGGAGAGTAAGTATAAGCATCAAGAAAAATGTCTGATACTTCAAAGAGGAGCTGCGTACAGCATCTCTGTGTGGTATTTGTGGTGAATTCTTACATCATTGAAATCTATCCATTTGCTTGGCTTTACAAGAGAGAAAGCTGTTATCACTTGTTTTAGCTAGGGTAAGAAGGCGAGGAAAATACTGTATTTAGTATTACTTTGTCAGTGTGATGCTCTTTGTCTGAATGTGTCCTGTTCAGTTCTGAGCAGCTTTCAACCAGTGGGAATTTCAATTTCACGGTTGATTGTCTTCAAGAGACACAGTATTTGAAATAAATATGTATTACAAAGAACACTTCACATACCCTGGGTGAAAATTATAGTTTCTCAGTTTAATGGGGGAGACGAGTTCATGATGTCTGCATGTTCTCATTAAGAGGAGCTACAGAGTGGCAAATTTCCATCTGATAACTAACACAATGAATAAGAATCTAAGTTACAGTACACAAATTACCAGTTCATTCATATGAATAAATAAAATGTTCTGAGATAAATGCAGTAATTAAATCTTTCATTTTGGACACCTGGGAAACAAAACAGTGTCATCACCCTGTTTGTCATGGATGTGCCTTACACCTCTGATTTCTTGTCTGTGGTTCAGTTTTTCTGGATATTATTAAAAGCCACAAATATTTTACTTCAAAATTTAGACTAGTTGCTTTATTGCCAGACAAGTTTCCTCTATTCTTTCTCTGTTAATGGAACCTTTTTCACAAATTTTTTTAAAATTTTAGTTTTTCTTTGTTCCTGTAGGAGTTGCGACTGTAGGCATGAGTTTATAGTAGTAGTCTTGAGCTGTAAATAGCTATGCTGTGGTTATCTGTGTTATCATGAAATTCTCCTTTGAAGACTATGAGGATATTTCTGCAAATAAAGTTGAGTATACTGGTGCTTGCTGGCGTGAAGGTTCCAGTTGTACAGAAATAGGTACTGAATTAATTTTGTTCAACTAGGATAGCTTTTTTGGTAGTGATTAAATTATTGACAGAGTGAGAGATATAACTATAGCTGTAAGAAAATGCACCAAGTGAATATTTAAGCCAAGTGAAGAAAAAAAGAGAAGAAGAAGAAATTCTCATTTAAAAATTCTTAAAATAAATAAGTCACTGATTATTTTTTTTATGGTAAAACATATACCACTAGAGCAAAGGGGAATGATGGCTCCCACATGTCTTGGAAGATCTATTGTCTTCAGTTAAATGTAAGTTAATTGTCTGAGTTACAAGAAATTTTGTGACATTTAGAAGAGGTCTGGAAAAATCTTAGTTTCACAGACTTCAATATTTATTTGTTAATGAATAAGTCTTCATGGGGTTAGTGGCTAAAGGGCTAGTGCTGGAAGTGCTAGCACTTACCAAATATGAAATATTCAGATACCCGTGAAAGGAAATAAGCAAATTACTTATATAATCATTAATAAAATTATGCCTTTTCAATTTCAGAATATTTAAAATATTACTTGTTTTTCAATAATCATAATAATGCTAGTAACGTGAAAGTTTAGGAAAATATTGTTGTACCTAGATACCAGGTGTACTTCTGCTGAATGCATATTTTTTTTTTTTTTTTTTTTATTTTTTTAATAGTCTTGTTAAACATGGGGATGTGTGCTTGGATGCAGATGAATGTCCATGTTCATGGAAAGGAAAGGAATACTTTCCAGGTGACAAAGTAATTTCTTCCTGTCATACATGGTAAGCAGAGGGCTGTTTGGGATGATTATTTAATTTTAATTGTTTATTTACAGATTGGTTATTCCTTCGTGGTTTTCAATTATAAATTTCACACCAGATTTCAGTAAATAGTCTACCCTAATTTTGTATTTACATTGGTTCAAAGGGTTATGAAAATGACTTCTTTTAGGGTTGTTTGTTTCAAGAAGCTTTTGCATACAAAACTATAGCTATTTGGGATTTAGTTTTTGTAAAGCTTGATTTGTAAAAATATTTTCTTTCATTATCAAGGTGATCTAAATATTCTTTGGCTAGTGTTCCTAAACTACAGGTAAAATCCTTCAATTATTACACCTGAGTGACATTTGCTAGAGATTTATACTTACTCGTTTTCACATTTAGCTTTGAGTCCTAGCAGTCTAAAGGCTCAAAACATAACCTTGTGGCCATAAGCATATACCCATTACAGTGATAAATTAAGGAGAATACTGAGCATAGTAACAGATAAATTGCTTGCTAATTTTGCATGTGTGGATACTGATGAGCCAATCGGCTTTAAAAGGAAGTGTTTCAATAGACAAGGGTTGATAGGATCACTCAAATACATGCAGAAACCTATTCCATTTACTATCCAGTGTTGTAAATGCAGCACATACCCTATAGCTACATTACTCTGCAAAGTTTCCTTGAGCACTCTCAGTAAAACACCATACACTACCATTTTAATAAGCTTTGCAATAGCTAAGATATGAAAATATACCCCATCTGCGTCATCCTAAAGCAAACTTGTTTCTTGATGGTCCCTGCCTGTTTTTCCTCTCTGCGCACAGTTGAATGTTGCAAGATGGCACTAAGCAGCACTATTTGTCTTACCAAAGCCTCAGAAAGATCAGCTGTACTGTCAAGCACCAAGACACTATGGTAGTGGTGTAGCTTCTAGCTTCCCAGCAGAACAGTTCCTTCCTTTTGTCCCATTCTTTTAGCATACCAGGAATATTTAACTGGTGTCACCTGGTAAACTACTGCTCCTGGCCTGCACAGCTCAGTATAACCTAGTATAGTGAAGGCTTGTCCAGTCAGCACTAATCACTGCCTTCTCTGGATGTTGTTGCCCCCTCCAGCCTTGTGCTGACTGCCTACCTCTGCCTCTCGTCAGGTCCTCAGTATCTGCTCTAGAAGATATTTGTAGCCCTTTGGTCGACTGGTGAAGCGACTTACAAGCCATCTCCACTGGGCAGGCAGGTAAAGCGACCCGGATTATTCACCCCCTTATCTCTAAAGGCCTCTCCAATTGGACCTGGTGTGGGATTGCTTGCATCAGAAAGAACTATTATATCCCATTTAATCAATATGAGACTTCACCAAAGGCAGCAGCAGTGCAGGCAGAAAGACACTGGATATTTAGCCTTTTCTCTTTTTTTTTTCTTTTTTTTTTTCTGAGGCCAGGCCCATTAATTCATGTACAAATCCTTAAGGTTGTCATGGCTTTTCTAGACTGCCACGTCCAGAAGCAAAGATAGATTAAGTGATAATATTAAGTGATAATGGCTTTTTGGCAATGAGTTTTCCACCGACAGATGGGAAGTCTGCAACAAGCTCTGCTTCATACAAAGTGTATAAAGTCTTTGAGACTCCTTGTGTGTATGCAGGGGTATATTTGATATGTCAAAGTAATGTGCATTTTTACTCGTGCAAAGTGTGAGAATAATCCTGTGCAAACAAGCCCACTTAGGCTCTCTTAGCAGTTATGACATTAGTGTTATGTAGCACACAGAAATAGCGTGCATTCATACTAAATATCATCTTATTCATATCTGATGTAGTATTAGCAACATAACCATTATTATGATTTGTCTATTGAGCAGTAAAATAGCAAAATAATTTCTTAAATTGGCAAAACTCCCAGCAGAGTGCCAGGCGCTTTTAACCTAAGCTTTGGGGTCTGGATGAACTACAGTTCTAGGCTTCTCAAGTTTGGTTTTCAGTGCAACTTCTTGAAATTGTTAGCACGTGCTGGTGAGATTAAACACAAAAGGTTATTACACTAACTGAAGCTATCAGAGTGGCATTTTGGTGCTGTGCTGGGCAAGGTGAGATAGGTGGTGCAGTTAGCTGTGCTGGTTTGCTGTCATACATTGAGACCATTGAGCAAATGTTCTTAAATACTTCCTGGAGATACTTCTTTTAAAAAAGCTAGTCAAAGTTTGGAAGATGCAAAGTTTGGAAGTAGCTCTGCTTTTCCAGCTAGGACTTTAGATTCTGATAACTAAATGTTAGTTCACTTAATAGGAAACAAAACTGGTGCAGATGACTTTGGAAACATTCTGTACCTCTTAAGCCCTTCCTTCTGACTGTAAATGTGTTCAGACTCCTGAAAAAGTATGCAAAGGAGCTCCCTACTGTTTGCATGTGAAGAAATGTTTCTGCATGAATCTGTGACATAAAAGCACGTAGAGAATTTTTTGAATAGTCCTTAAAAAAAAAATATAGGTAAACCTAAAACCTAATATCTTGCAGAAAGCATGAGAAGCAGTACTTATTCTTTGAGTCCAAATATATTTTCTTCTATTTGTCTCTCTCCATCAGCTTGATAAGGTTCCTGCCTTAGGTACCACTTTAAGGTGACTAGAGTTAGCTGTGTGTGTCCTACTGCTATATACTGGTACAGCAAACACTTTTCACATGTTGGACTTTTATTTTAGCAGTGTGCTTAGTGGCCTTGTATATGTAGTTATATAAAACACAAGCAGCGGATACAGGAAAGAAAATTCTGTCCATCATTTGTAAATCTTATGTCATTTCTGAAAATGTTACTTAGATTGCAAGAGGGATATGCAGAAGGAGACATAGTATCAAGTGCTGTAAAGCCTCACTGTTAGGCAGTTACAAAACAAAGGTAATTCAGAAAGGTCTGAATAGTCAGTGTATGTGTGATGAAAGCATTTTGATGCATAGACAGAACTTGAACTGTTCTGGAACCTCCTAAACTGGCTAGGGTTTGGGATGATATCTAGGCACCTGAAAGATGAAAAAGGAACCGAAGAACCAAAATAGGGTACTGAATGTTTTCCTTTGTACTGTGAAATTGTCGTTCAAGCAGACAGTGCATAATGACTGTAGTAGTAGGACACATTGCTTGTTGATTCTAAGATTCAGCTCATATAGGAACAAATGTTCTGTGAGAAGCTGAAAAGGAAAACTTGTGGCACATCATTGGTGTGAGTTATTAGAAAATATATTGTATTATTTGGGTAGTAATTGTTGTTTTCTTGTTTAAACAAAAGAAATGCCCTTTTGGTGTCTGTATTTTCTAGAACCTATGAATTCTAACAGGAAGAAATGTGGACTGTACAAGTTAAAGATGAAAATTTTTATTCCAGAGAATCAATTTATACATGCTGCTTCTAGTTAACATTCCAAAATGCTTTTGTCCACAGACATCATACTTGCATGGCTTTTGTTTTTTTGCTTCTCAGTGCAATAACTGTAATCATTTGCCTGTGGTTACAGTTGATATTACCATTATTGCTCATACATTTTTCAGCATTTGCCAGCATGGATCATTTCAATGTACCTTCCATCCTTGCCCATCAATGTGTACTGCATATGGGGATCGGCATTACAGAACATTTGATGGACTAACTTTTGACTTTATTGGAACTTGTAAGGTTTACCTAGTTAAGGTGAGATTATTTTTTTTTTTTTTTGTAAAGCCTCTCTAAAACTGGATTTAAAAACTACCCTTCTACTTATTTCCTATCTGAACATTTTATTAAGTTCATCATATTGTTTTTAAAGCTTTGGTGTTGCTTAGACATTGAATCATTATTGTGGTTTAAGCCCAGTCTGTAACTCAGAACCATGCAGCTGCTTGCTCAATTCCCCCTTTCTTCCCCCCCAGCTCCTGGCAGGAGGAGGAGGAGAATTGAAAGAATTTAAATCCCACGAGTTGAGATAAGAACAGTTCAATAACTAAAGTATAATACAAAACTACTACTGCTACCACCAATAATAATAATGTTAAGGGGAGAGAATATACAACTAGAAAGGGAAGGGAGAAAAATCAAGAATAAACAGCAGTGATGCACAGCCTAATTGCTCACCATCTGCCAACTGATACCAAGCCCAGACCAAGCAGTGATCTGGCCTTTCCGTGTGACTCCCCACACCCCTCCCAGTTTATATACTGGGCATGACGTGCTGTGGTATGGAATACCCCTTTGGCTAGTTTGGGTCAGGTGTCCTGTCTCCGCTCCCTCCTGGCTTCATGTGCCCCTCATCACTGGCAGAGCATGAGACTAAAAGTCATTAATCAGGATAAGCATTACTTAGCAACAACTAAAAACATTGGTGTGTTATCAGTATTGTTCTCAGACTAAAGACAAAAACACAGCACTGCACCAGCTACTAAGGAGGAGAAAAATAACTGTTACAGCCCAGGTCAACCATACATTACATAATAATTATACTCCGAGGTTTCTGCCAAGTGATTTACATATTTATGTCAGTGTATTTAAAAGTGGCCATTTCTTCTTTTTTTTTTTTTTTTCTTTTTTTCCCCAGAGTACTTCTTCAAGCAATCTTTCTGTTATTATAGAGAATATTAATTGTTTTAATACTGGAATGATTTGCAGAAAGAACATTTTCATTAATGTTGGAAAATCTTTTTTAGTATTTGATGATGAATCTGGAAATCCAGTAAGTTTCAGTCTTTAATGCTGATCAAAAGGTAACATGTACTTCTCTGGGTGTTTTTTCTTTCAATTAGCAAAAACTTACTGTGCCACTTGGGTAGCAGAGGTGTGAGTATCATTGCTGTGAATGCTGATCACATCTAGATTGTTCAACAAAACCTTAAACAAAATCTTGTCTGTATTTAACAAAAATGTTAGATAAGATAATTGTTCTTTTGTTTAGACTTAATTCCTATTTAGTGTCTTTGGAAAAATTCGAGTATTTTGAAGTCAGTGGGAGTTTTGGTATTATTTCCACTAGAACTAAGAGTCTAGTCTGGAATGCATAGGAGGAATATTCCTATACAGTTTTAAAAAATAAATTGCAGTCTCTGGTTTATCCTCCACAGCCTGAATTTTGTTTTTCTTTTGGCCAAACTGCAAGCTATTGCTGTAAATATTTAGTGGTTTTAGAAATTTTAGTATAGATGGTACTATTTACAGTTTATAGATTGACTATGCAAAGGAAGTTGTGTCACTTTCTATGAGGTATTGCGCAGTTAAACCAGACATCTTAGTCCATGTACAAATAACTTGGAATCTGATTGTTATTAGACAGCGGGAAGAATGCCTTATACAAATAAGATGGCACTCTCTGGATATATGTAGATAATACCTTATTTCAAGAAGTTGCTCCAGTTGCCATTACCCATGCCTTAAATTTGATAGAAAATCAACTTTTAAAATAGCAAAATTATAAAAATACAACATAGTTCACAATCAAAATCCACACCATTTTCGTTTAAGCGTTTGTCCCTCTGTGGCCTCCTGTCAGTTTATTGAATTCTGTCTGCATCATTCATTTTATTTAGGTGTTTCATTGCCTGTTAAATGAACATCTTGTGAAGACATTACTTCCATTATAAGCTGCCTTGTTTTATTTTGAACAGAGCTTATCTAGTTACATAGATGAACTACAGAAAATGCAGGTATGGAAAGCTGGATTTTTCACTGTTGTTCATTTTCCTGATGAGCACGTCACCATTCTCTGGGATCAGAGAACAACAGTTCATGTTCAGATGGGTCATCAGTGGCAGGTAAGCGGCAGTCAACATTCTTATTGCCATTTCTTTGAGGTGTTTATGTAGGTTTTATTAAGATGTTATTATTTGGAGAATAGACAATCTCTCACAATCTCTCAGAAGTCATGAAGGAGAGAGTTTCTCACAGTCTCTCAGTCAAGGATAGTAACATCAACTACCTTGTCAATTAAAATATTTTCTTAGGTCCTATTTACTGTCCAACTTCTATAACAGCAGAAACAAGTATCTTTGAAGCAACATTCTCCTTCAATACTGATTTCGTACATGACTGGTGCAGGTGTTATTTTGCTGAAGCATAAAAAAGCACATAGCTAACAAACAGGTCACTTCTCTGAAAAAAAATCTGCTCCTTTCTCAAAGGTTTGGAGATACTTAGTTGAAAAGGAATAATGTTGATGGTGTTAAAGTAAAATGTTTTCCATAGTTTTACTGTCACAAATTGTTGGACTGTTTTGGCTGAAATTTAGCTGAATGAGATAAAATCCTAACAAATTTATAATTAAGTAGCTGAAGACAGGAACTTAAGAAGCAAGTTTTGAAAATGGTCGTGTCTTGTAGTGTTTTGTGTCAAGGGGAAATATGGTGGGTTTAAATATATGTGTGTGTATATCTTTTTTCCCCAGGGTGAATTGACTGGATTATGTGGAAATTTTGATCTGAAGACAGTCAATGAATTGAGGACTCCAGATAATTTTGAATTAACAAACTCACAAGAGTTCGGAAACAGCTGGACAGCTGTAGAGGTACGTAGTAAAAAGCATATGTCTGCTAGTAGATTTTTTGCTGTTACGTCACTTAATTTATCTAGAATGAAATCATATTATACTTCCTGGAAGTATCAGGCAGGCAGCAACACAAATAACAATATCATTCTTAGAGATGTCATAATCCATTAAGGAGAAGAAAATAATCTCCTTTTTCTCAACACAGCGCTATCCCGTAGAGGAAAATGCTGTACAGTAGTCTAGATCTACAAGTGTCTTTTAAAATGTTTGAACAGTAAAGTAGTATTTTTCTTACATAATGGAACAATTGTGGGTTCATTTTAGACTGTGTTGTCAGTTTAGCTGATCTTTCATAGCTGGGAAATGTTTAACTATGAAACCATAACAACGGAAAGAAAAAATATTCTTTCATATGCTATAAAATTAAAAATTTAACTATTTTTAATCTCATTTGTTTAGTGGTGTTCACAGAAAGGTTTCTTCCTAATAGTTAGAGTAAAAAGATCTGATTTCTAACACATTCATGTCCTTCGAGTGAACTTTGTTACTTACGAAAGCTAGACTATTCAGGTGTAAGGACTGTTTAGACCTGTATGTACATAAGTGGTTTTCTGCTGCTCTTGGGCAAACGAAACATTTCTTCAAATTGTGTCCTTTTCCTTTTCTGCAGATTATCAACTCTTTTAATTCCATATCTTAGTCTGGCTTTAGTTTTGTATGCGATGCATTTGCTTTGTGGTTTACATCTCTTTAAAAAAACAAACCAAAAAAACTCCCAAAAACCCCCAAAGCTATGCTTTGCAAGTTCAAACACTAAGTAGTTATGAAACGTGTTTCTCACCTTAATTTTGCTTTCTGGTTAAGTGTGTTGACAGCTCTGACATTCGAAATCCATGCAGTTTGAATCCCCTCAGAGAGCCATTTGCCAAGAAGGAATGCGGAATACTGTTAAGCGAAGCATTTGAAACTTGCCATCCAGTGGTGAGTTGTGGTCATGTATAGAAAGATATGAAGGTGACCATAGGTGATGACTAGAGAGAAACTCTACTTTTCAACTTGCATCACTTTAAATCTTCATCTTGTCTTTCATAACATAATAGTTTTGACTACTATAGCAAAAAAGAATATGAAGAAAGGCTAACCTATAGCAATGCTGATTTTAAAATGTGAATGTTTAGCTGGACTATGTGCACTTAGCTGAGCTAGACAGTAAGCCACTTTGGCACCAGTTTAACATTTCACAGTATTGGTAGTCCTATTAGTCATCTTGTTAATGAATTCAGCCAAAATTATACCCATTTGTGGTTGTTTTTTGGTTTTTTTTTTTTTCATCCTAAGCACTATTTGCTTAAGCATAACCATTTGCTTTGTTTTGCTCAAATGTATTACATAGTACGCACATTTTTCAGGCCATATTTAAATAAACTGACAGTTTCTGCTAGGTAACTTCAGATGCGAGGAGCTCATTCCTAGACAAAAAAACCCCACATGTATCTGTCTCCTCGCTCAGGCAACTACCTAAGGAAACAAATGAGCCAATCAATGTGTTCTGACAGCCAACAGGCTCAGGTTTGGTTGGAGAAGGGGGGGGACTGGAGACAACCTATTTCCAGAGATAGGTCTTATATGGAAAATGACTTATCTCAAGATGTTCAGATATTAACACTATGTGCATGGCTTAAAGAGTTTAAGTATCAGAATGCTTCCTAGGGAGAAAGGAGATTTCATACGAAAGGCAACCAGGGGTCTTGCAGAGTTGCTTTGTATATTACTTTTGAAGACAGTGGGGGTTGATGTTAAAGTTGTACCAATGTAAAGTCAGCTTAGTCCACTGTGTAAGGTAGGTAGCAACTAAATTCCTTATCAGTTTGGAAGTATTAGTCAAGTGTAAATCCATGTAGAATGTATAACAATTCAATAAACAAATCAGGACTGAGAGTTTTCTTTGAAATTTTTTCACTTAAGACTTCAAAATAATCTAAGGGAAAAATCATAAATTTGCCTGTGAAATTGTCTAATAATATGAAAAGAATGAACCACTCACATGTAAAAGAAGGGGTTTTCATCTACTTTATTATTTCTTACATTTTATACGTATCTAACTTTCTTAATGTTTCTGCACTTTACTGATTTGTGGTCAGTTTAGAGAGTTTCTCTTTCTTTTTTTTTTTTTCCCATAAGCTTTTGTTAATTTATTATGGTTTAAATATTACAAAACCATAGAAAACACAATCTCAAATGAACATCTTAGTGTGCATGTTCTTAATGGGTCATTGATTTAATTGTGTTATTAAGTATTGTGCAAGATTTCATGATGTGTTCTAATAAACTCTTCACCTTCTGTTTCAGGAAACATTAAAATTAAAATCTTTAATGTTCAAAGTCTTACATATTAAATTTTGAAAGCATCATAGCTTTGTATTGAGGTGATTGTTGCCAGTGTCTGTATGAGTATTTTTGATAAGTGGTATTTATTTTTCCAGATTGATGTCACCTGGTTTTACTCAAACTGCTTGACAGATACATGTGGTTGTAACCAAGGAGGTGACTGTGAATGTTTCTGTACAAGTGTATCAGCATATGCCCATCAGTGCTGCCAGCATGGAGTTGCTGTAGACTGGAGGTCTCCTAGAGTGTGTCGTAAGTTTACTTAACTAGCATTGCGAGTGGCTGCCACTGTCTGCATTCATGAGACCCAGACCTGAAAAATCAATCCTATGAAGTCACCTGGGGTCATGAATTGAATCACTAAGCCACACAGGCAGGAATATGAGTGGGCGCCTCCCACTGCCCTCTGTGTTCGTTTTGGTCTGGCTGGATTACACACTTCTTTGCACATTTGTGGGTGGTACTCTTCTAGTTTTAATTCCTTGTCCTATGATGTGAAACGAAAAATCATGGCAAGTCTATATTAGGATATGGAATGCTTCCTTCAAACCAATGTTGCAAAGTCAACAGCTTAAGTAATTCCATCTTCAGGACTTCACTTCTTATATACAAATATAGCTGCCTTACTACTGTCCCCAGAGCAAGAGTGAAATAAAGGTCTTCTGAAGAAAAACAAGTAGGTTTTTAAGCAGGACTGTGTCATTACCTTAGCATCCTTATTCAACAATGCTTAGAAGTTGTAAAAAGATCTGAGGCCTTTTTCTATGGTATCTAGTGCAAATGCATAATGAGAAACAGTCATTTCCCCAGTGATGTGATAAAAATGGACACAACAGAAAGAATGGGAGGAAACAAGTATTTTCTGACTTTACAGTTGCACGGGGAGAGCTTGCAGCTTGCTCAAAGTCACACATCAAATTGGCCATAGATCAAGAGGGTTACTCTTACTTTTCAATGAAACTACATGAATGTTTTAATGTGAGCACAGAAAGACAGCAGAGCTTAGTCGTAACCACTAGAGGTCACAAAAAGACAGCTGTAGATATGTAAGCTTAGCATTTCTTGCTAGAAAGCTGTACTTTATTTAGAACAGTGTAGCTTAAATTAGCATTTTATTAAAGCAGTAAATCTTTGGCAAGATTTTTTAAAATATTTGTGCTTTTGTTTTACCTCTTAATTGTGAAGGGTAATAGAAAACCTGTGTATCTGCAGAATGCCTGCAACTGCCTTTCTTTTTCTTTTATTTTTTAGCTTACGATTGTGAGTATTTCAACAAAGGTAAGTCCGAAAGGAGCTTATAAAATCTCAATAGAATCTTTGGTTTCTTTACATAACTCTTAGTACTTTGTATGAAAATAACTTTATGTTAATTAAAACAGTTGTGAATGATTTATTATTTAAATAACCAAGATTCTGTTTTAATCATTTATTTTGCTTTTTAAAAGGCTTTTGATTTCATTAAGTTTCTTATTCCTGGGCCTTTCCCAAGAATACACATTTATCTAATTTTCTTTGCATTTATGGATCATGATTAAACAATCAGTAAGTAATTAATAGACTATTCAACTCACTAGTCTGAGTGGCAATACTTGATTCAGGTGTAGAGCAGTTCAAAACTGATACCCTATGGGTCTGTGAAACCAATCTTGACCACCTGCGCAGCCTCCAGAGGGAGCTAGCTATTAAGACATTACAGCTTTTGTGCCCAAATGTGGAATAACTCTCCGTTTAGGTATGTCTGAGTGAGCTTTAAGCTCCTGAGCAACAGCCATTGCTGCTGCATTGAAACGGCTCTCAGAGAGAGGTGCAAAACTTGTGCAAGGTGCTAGAGGAAACTTTGAGTCTGTACTGGGTACTGTACTGCTGTGTTAACACTGGAATCCATATCCAGGCTATTTAGAAGTTAAATTGCAAGTGTCTGCATAGTTAGACGTAGCATGCAAGCCAGCCTGATGTGAGGAATGGTCAGGACTCCTGCTATTTATTCTATAACTCTTTTTATCAAGCTCATGTAGAAGCCTGTCTTTCCAGATGGTTTGTGATATTTTGATCTTCTGTTAGACTCCATGTTGCAGCAGCTCACCCCCAGGATAATCTCAGAGAGGAACTGAGTTTAAATTAGAATAATAGTGCAATGTGCCAGGCCCAAACAACATTGCCTGTGAGTTTGCATTTTCTCATATACTGATTGCTGAAAAGATGTTGAGTGGGGTCAAATTGCTAATGCAGTGGAATTTTATCTAAATCTAAGCCTTTAACTTAAATAAAAGTCAGTTGAATATAAGAGGTGATTGCAGTTTTACATTTCCTTTTTTTGTTTGTTTTGTTTTATCAATGAAATAGTTTGCTAAATAATCTTACTGCACTTGAAAAAGATTGAAATTGCAGTGCCTCTAACATCAGTGGTAGTAGTGAAGTTAGATTATGTACTTCTATAGTGTTTTATTAGTTTTACTTGTTACTGAATTCTGACAGAAATTAGTTGAAATGGTGGAGAGCTGTGCATGTGACCAGCTTGTAATAAACATGGTTATTGTAATCTTCTCCCTTTATATCACGCTACTGTTTGCTAATCCAGCTCACCAGTGTTCAATATCAGATGTTTCAGAGCTCCAGTTGGGGGAAAAAAAAAATAAATCTCTGTGCTGAAGATTTTATTTTCTACCTCAAATATAGAAGCATTCCTGACGATTACTTAGTTTTGGATACAGGAAAGTTAAGAAAACATCTTAGACCAGGGAGAGGTTTTCTCTATGTAGCCTTGTCATGAATCCAGAGTGAAACAATTCCAGTCCTATTAGAAGCAGGAGCAGAAACCTTTTGTCTTTGGTAAGGGGAAAATCTCAGCTGGTACCTGTGGCTTCTCAAGTTTTTGATGGGCCTGAGATAGAAGACTTAAACATTTATTAACATTTCCAGATCACTGGAAGTTCTAAGCAATTTATAAAACATATTTCAACTCACTGTACTGAAGGTAACCAGATATCACTGTATACGTTTAGCTAGGCATGGGCTTGTCTTACTTCTCAGTGATTATGTTTGTATCTATACTCCTCAAGGAGTTCTTTGATACTTGATGACAACAAACTTCTATTCCTTGCAAAATGCCTAACACTTCAGACACTAATAAAATAGGTTTTAAAGAATAGTAAGTTCAACCATATAAATAAACAATTTAAGGGGATCCCAGGGTGGTCTGTAGAACATTGTTTACTTCTAAATCAAATAACAAAGAGGTCAGATAACTTTAATAAAGTGACTATGAAACTGAAGTGCATGAGAGGGAGGAAAAGCAAAAGCTAATCATGAATCTTGAAAATTGAAAGTAGGTATTCTGGACAGTTTTCAGAACATGTATTTTCTATAAGAGTTTGGCTTTATTTAGGTTGTCATCATAGTTTAGTGCATGGTACCTAAAGCTATTTTCAGAGTGGAAAGATGTGTTTTTATGTGCTGTATCATAATATTTAGAGCTTAAGCATTTGTGACACTTGACATGAAAGATAATTCTGATTTATTTTTTTTTTTTCCAACAGCTCTGGGAAAGGGCCCATATAAACTGGTCAGCTATTTGTCTGGGGGATTTGTAATTGCAGTGGAACTGGTGAATGGTGGTGTTTTCCCAGTGAGAGAAGAAGATATTGTTCCTGGACATGCAGTGAGCTTTATGCTGACTTCAGGACTTTATAAACCCAAAGCACATGGTAAAGTCACTGTAACCTAGAGGCTTAAGTAATGCAGAACAAATTCTGCCTTTGGATACAATTCTACGTTTAAGAATGTCTTGGGTCAAAAAATCTTTATCTGTTAGCTGATTGTGCATCCTAATGTTGTCTGCCAAAATTTTCCATTGCTTGGTTTAAATAGATAATTGTAGCTTTATCAATAGATAATTTTAGTTGAAAAGCAATAGCCCCTCTGTGCCCCAGCTTCCAGAAGGACCAAACCAGCGATTAGCCCAGTTCTCTAGATATATGTTGCTCCCTGAACCCTTCCTCTGGCAGAACTGGAACATAGTAAAGAGTGAGAGAGAAATCATACAAGAAAAGTATTCCCTAATTCACTCTGTCACCATCGGCCATTCTCTGCTTGCTTGTATGGAGATTCCTGTTGGCACTAAGCTAAACTGCATAAGTATGCGTATGGCAAATTTGTCTCCTTCAGGTCCTTAAGCTTCTGCTGGAGGAATGTGTTGCTTATTCAGCAGACAAAAGAAGTCTTGCACACCTTCAGACAGGTGGAAAAAGCTTACAAGAATATATTCAGCACTTTGTGACACTGATTAAATGCTAGAGTTGTCTGCATATAAAGCTTTAATTTCAGCTTGAGTGTCAACACCATTTTACTGATGAGAGTCCCCTGATCAGCTCTTTGGACAGCCTGAAGGTGGCTGTCTTTGTGTAACCAAAGAAGGGATATGGGTCTGTTGAAAAAATGACAGGCATTTGATTAGTATTACTGCTGTCTGTAGAACTGACACAAGAACTCATGTAACAATATCCAAGGCCAGATTTCTTTTACTAGTCATAGTTTTGAGACACTTGTACATTGTGTTCAATACATGTTTGGAAAGGGAAGGACAGTCTGACTGTCTTATTTCCATATATAATTTCTCTTGTTCAGAATTTAACCTGTCAAATGGAATTTGGGCCTTATAGTCCAATTCGACCATTTCATCACTTGGCCATGGAAGTGTTTGTACAATCAATATGATATTTTTCATATCCATGTCTTCATTTATATTACATTCTTGGTTCTTTGAAAAATGGGTGTGTTTTAGCATTTTCAGACAAATCGTAGACAATGGAAAGTTTTGTGCCTTGATTTGCTATACATCAGGTATTATAAATCACATTGACCGTCCGTTGTTACTTTTTAAATAGATACCTGCTACAGACAATTAATAAAGAGATATTCACAGGAGCCACTATGTTTTTCAGATTAATTGAAACGTTTATGCTCAGAAAACAAGTTGGTCTTCCAGAAGTGTTATACCAGAATGTGACAGTTATGCCTGGAGGATTATTAATGGCTGTTTTCAAGAGAATAGCAGAGTTTACAGCAAAATAGAATGGTAATTCTGTGAGCAAGAGATGCCTGTAACAGGCTCAAGATCTGCTGCTCTGCAATTTGTTGTACAGAGGCTTGCTTCAAATTAGTACTGTTTTCAGGTTAAGGTATCATATGGGTACACTTGCCAGAAAACAGGCTTCACTGATAACATACTTTGAAGGGTCAGGGACCTGACTGCTTAGAAAGCTGAATGCAAAATACATTTTTGTAATTTATTTCTTATGAAAACTCCGAAGTTATAAATTCCTGATGGCAAATGTTACTTGTAGGGCTACCTAGATAAAGTTTAAGATTTTTAAAATAAATGGCTTAGTAAAGGTTGTAAACTGCATCCTGGTATGGGCAAAGGTCTTAATCTGCTCGTATTCCTGTTGAAATCTATAGGGTGCTTAGAAAGCTAAATATCTGTCATAATCTAGCACTCTGAAATCTGTATATTTTCTTAGAAGATTCAGGCTATTCACTGGTAAAACTAAAGTCACCTTTCATTGCTCATGCTGGTATTATCAGTAGTGGTACATCAGAATAAGTTCAGTTTACTGTGCATGTATCAGCAAGTAAATGAGTTCCGTATTGGTTTTGTGGGGTTTTTGTGTGTGGTTTTTTTGGTTTGTGGGCTTGTTTGTTTATTTATTTTTATCTTGTTTCTTCTTGTTTTTTTTTTTTTCCCAGATTCCAACTTGATTTCATTTGAAACAGCTGAGAGACCAAACTATTTTCTTCAGTTGGTCTCCAATAACACCCTTGTTCTTTCTAAATGGAAAAAAACTGAAGAGTTTCACAACAGATCTACTTTTGTCATTCACAAGAATACATGGCTTTCAGGATACAGTTCCTTTGAGTCATTTGCAAAACCAGGATACTTCATCCACATTACAGCTTCTTCAGTTGAGCTTTTGAAGTATCATCATTCAGAGGAGTTCAGGTTGTCGACCCTTTTTAAACTTGTAGGTGGGTAATTAAAGTTGTATTTTTATGAACAGCAGTTTGCTCCCTGTGAAAATACAAGCTAAATAGAATTCATGTTTTCAGAGGTGATGCAATGGGGTACTTCTCCCCTACATAACTGGGAGCTGTGGATAAACTGTCATGTACAGACTCAAAATCTTCTTCCCTGATACTTGTACTAAGGATGAGATTTTGTTTTCTTATCAAAAGCCATTAAATAGCTTAACACAACTTTGCTATATTTGTGAACTGGTTTTGGAAATGCATAGCCTAGTGAATAGTTTCTGGGCAATAGCTGCTTTATGGGTGGTGAGGAAATTCTTAAGGAGTAGAAAATTCATGCTGATGAATAATGGCTTCACAAAGGGAGCAGAAAAAAACTGAAGGCATTGCTAAAAGGTAAGGTCTGTGGATGATGTTTCTCCTCCTTTCCCTCTGACTGATGCCAAGAGGTAGTTTTCTGTATAGTGCGTTCTCATTGCAAGCTTTGTGGCCTCGTCAGAGGCTGATGCCATCTAGTGTTAAGGACATTGCCTGTAGATTACACTTCTCAGACCTCATGTTTTCCCTGAAAAACACCCCAAACTTTATCCACATACCCACTCACAGGGGCTCTGCCTTTTGGGATGTTATCCTCTAGTGTTTCAGGCACTGTCTAAGTGGAGATATATGACTCTTCTTGAGATCTAGATGCCTGTTCTCTAATGTTTCTTGGACAGCTAAAGCTCTTGAATACACAGTACAGCTTGCTATGAGAGTGTTTCTACCTAGGTGACAGGTTCCTATTCCTGTAATAGTGGCTGCATTCCACTGAGACATAAGGGTCAGTGATGTAGGAGATATTCTGAAGACCCTTTGTAGGACCTGGATGCAGAAGTTGCTCCTACTGGAACTGATGACAAAAAATACACATTAAAGAAATCACCAATCAGTCAAGCTCTTTCTTTTTTAGATTAGTAAGGAAAAGAAATAACAAGAATAACTGTTTTCACATATACTTAAAGACTTGGGAACCTTGTGCTGAAGAAGATGGCCTTACAGGTCAAGAACAAGATACAAGAAGTTATATTGGCCTATAAAATCAAGCAAAGCAGATTATTCATTAAACCACGATTTCCTTTAGTGTCTGCTTGTCTTGATACATAAAATATACCAAACATATTCGTATGATTTTAGTTATGAACTTCAGCAACAAGTACTTCTTGCTGAAACCACCCAAATCACTACAAGTGTTTGTTTTTATGTTCTAAAGCTTTTGATTGTGCTGTAATTTTAAATGCATTAGTAATCTGTTTATTTGGGCAGCAGAAATACTTTAATAGGTATTCCTGGCAATAACATTTTTTAAGATCAGTTCCTCATTCTTGGAAACCAAAATTTTATTTTACAAGTAAAGAAAGAAAATTAAATACTGTAACTCATGAAGTGTGGCCTGGCCATGTTTTACAATGACCATGCTGAATCTCAGCACAGACAAATCTGAAGCAGGCACTGACTTCTGTGACAGAAGAGGCCAACTGCATGCCTTGTGGAGCTTCTTGTTATCAAAACATTGAATTAAAGTGTTAATGGTGGCATTGTGAATCTGCTGGTGTTTTGCGGTGCATTATGCTGACAGCCTAATGCAGCTGTTGACTGGCACACTCCAACTTCAGAAAAAATGACAGATTTTGTCATTGCCAAATGCCTGTTGCCTCTTGACAAATGCTTGTAATCACAGAGCTGTTGAGGGTTTTGAATGGCAGAAATATAGAACTAATGCTATTACCAGGGTGTTCATACAGCATTTCAAGCAAGTAACTTTTTTGGGACATAACAAAAATATCTCCTTAGTCTTTTATCTTTGAGGGAGAAATGAAGAAGGTTAAAACGTTCCAATTCTCAGTGGTCATCCATTAGCAGAGTGGTATGTCTTTTCAAGTGTGAAGTCTTTACCCTCCAGTCATTATACCAAAAAATCCTATCTATGCCAATGGAAAACTAAAACAATTTACCTCAGCAAGTGGGATCAGATCAAATGATCAAGAGGCATTTCATTAATCACCACATCCGAGGGCTTGGGTTTCAGAGTTTTATAAGCAGAGAAACATAGGGCTTGAATCTTTCTCCAGTGTACTTTCACGAGGGCCAGCCTGCTGGTGTAGGGTAATTACATGGTCTAAAAATACAGCAGCATTTGTTTAAGTTAATGGAAAAGTTACACCAGCTCCAGAGTGCACAGGCAAAAGCGTATTGAGTTTCAAAATGCTTTGCATATTAGATCAGAAACTCTTGAACCGGGAACAGCTATTCCTGCGGAATCAGAGGATAAATATTGGAAGCAGAATAATAGGCCCAGTAAATCCCCTTGGCCAGAAAGTTCCTCATGAGACTTCTTCATGCTCTGACGCACATTCAAAAGGAAGAATTTTAAATGACCTGATCACCACAGCAATAGATACATCTCTGTTTTAAGTCAGCTGACGAGTCACTTTTTCCAGTTTCACCGCAATAAATATCGTCACATCAAAATACTTTGACTATAAATTGCGCAGATATGATGGGCTAACACTGCGAAGTATTTTCCATGACAAGTCACTTTGGCTTCTAAATTGGGTTATTTTCATTATACTTAGATTTGTCTGCTGTCCTGTTCCCACAAACATTTGAGGGTTTTTGTTGATAACTGAATTCGAATAGAGTATACTTACAAGAAAATACATTTTGTGCAGGAATTTTTACCAGCAATGGATTGGTATGCATTCAGTCAAAAGAAAGAATGCACTTAAGTCTTACTAGATGGACAAACACAGAGGTGTCACGTAAGAGTAATCAAGTCACATTTGAAATGGTTGGGAAGTTAGTAAATATATGGAATTGATGACCTTTTAATGGATATAACTGCAGTTTTCTTATCCTTTTTAATAAGCTCAGGTTGGATGAAGCCTTGATCAATCTCATCTGGAGGAAGGTGTCCCTGCCCATGGCAGGGCGTTGGAACTAGATGATCTTTAAGGTCCCTTCCAACCCAAACCATTCTATAATTTTATAATAAAAATAACATGCTCAAACTAGTTACCTTTTACCATTCACAAAATTATCATAATATGCTTTACCCTTTTAAGAACACTGTGAATTAAACTTACATATTTTATAAAAATGTGACTTGCCCTATATAAATTCTGCAGCAAAGTTCTTAACAGTGTTAACTGTGTGCTTTAATAGCTAACTTTCTGTAAATACAAGGCCTGTTAGAGAATTTTCAGCTAAAATTAAAACCCAAGATGCACTAAATATATGCACACTGCACGGAGGTATTTATCAATATTTAATTTTGATGCAGAGCATTTTTGGTTTCTTTTAATGTTTGCATCTTAATTAACTGAAATGCATTCAGAAACATACTACAAAGTGGAAAATGAAATGAAATTTAATGAAAAACTTTGTTTAGAAAAGCATCTTGAACCTAAGTCAGATTTATACATGATATCATTGACTATTTTAACTTTGATTTATATCCATTTCCATCAAGAGAGTTAGTTTTCTAGAATGTCCAGTTTCACTCATGAGTTGTTTGTAAGTTTAATTTGAGCTTGTACACTTTGTCAGTCCAAAAGATCGTGAAATGAGACCTGGAGCTGGATAATGCTGAGCAAGTTCTGTTGTACCTGCGAAACCCAAGTATGTCCCTGAACGCATCTTCTTGGTAGCTCTTGAAATCAGACTGAGGGTACTGTCGAATTGTGACATCTTTCCTCTTTATACCACAAACACAAACGTTTGACCTCCCATTTTTGACTGAATAAATAGGAGATAAAATAGTTATAGTAATGAGATTATAATCCTCTAACATTGTAAGAGTAAACTAAACAAAAGTATTTGAGAGGTAGATAATTATGCTTCACTTTCAGTGATGTTTTGGCTGGGCACAAAGTTCGATTTTTCCAATGATATTTGCTTACACTTCTCATTGCAGAAATAAAGAAGTCATGGGCAGAGTTTGTTAGTAGTTTGTGCGTGTTAAGTGGGTAGATAGGATTTCATGTTTCTAAACTTGTGACTGAGGAGATAGGCAATCTACATTAGTAAGCAGAGTTTTGCTGCTGTTACAAATAGAAGTAATTCTAAAGCAAATTTTGCTCCTACTAGATTTTTTAAAATCTTTGGGAAAAACAGCAAAATAGAAGAAAGTGTTAGATGAGAACAACAATCCTTTTTTTTTTTTTCCATTATTTTCAAAGTCTTTATTTTAAATACAACCTTCTATTAACATTAGAACATTTCAAATTTAGCTTGGTTCTTTTTTAAGTAAACAACCATTTTTTGAGCATAGCATGAAATGATTGATAATATGCAGATTCTGACAATGGCAGATTTTGTCTTTATGAGGTAAAAGCATAGAAAAAAAAGGTAGGATGGGCTTATGAACACTAGGAATTTTTAACGCACAAAAAAGTGGCCAAGTTGCTAAGAAAGGTTGTTGCAGCTCAACAGAACACCACGGTCTGTCAATGATGAAAAATTAAAATTCTTCATAAATGGTTGCAATTATTCATTACCACAGAATTATTTTTGAAAGCCCCAGAAAATGAAAATCATAAGTTACCGGGAAGAAAATGCTTCTCTGATGTCCAAGCATGTGGGAAAACAAAGGAGCTGGGGAATATCTTTAAATATATTGTCTTTGGCAATGCATATACCTGCAGTCATATGAAAGCTTTCTGCAGTACTGTAACTTGTTGATATGCTCAACTCCTGTTAGGGTAGAAGAACTGTGGGCTCAGTTGGCATGTCAACTGGAGCGACTGCCACCCAGGGCATAATTTAACATTTTGTGAAGGATTTGCTGTGTCACTGAACAGAAGACAAATGCTGGTAGACTTCACCAGGAGACATGGTTATTTTCAAATGCCATGACAAATCCTTTTGAGGAACACATGCCTGATACAAGAAGCTTGACTCATTGTCTGCAAACTGTGTATCATTCTTTTGTTATGAATGATCTGTACTGTTGCAGAGAGTACAGTAAGCTCGTATTACTGGTTGCTGGAGGGGGAATTTAAGTATTAAAAAAATGGAAAGCATGTGGTGGAGGTGGCTGATTAGCATCATGCCTAGCATAAAGTGTTTGTGCAATGACACTGGCAAAATCCAGAGTTTCTGAGCTGTGGTAGTTTCTGCCATGGGAATAGCAGTATTGTAGTAACAATAAAGCCAAGGTTGGTCTGGCTTGGAAGTTAATGTCTAAAATCAATACAGAGACTGAAATAACTATTTACCTCAGTTTAGGAAGAGGAATGCTTGAATGGCTTTAAAGCATGTTGTTGCTGCTTTTCCTTATACTCTAATAACTGTGGGTATTTTGATCATAGTTAATATACAGATGTATTAAAAAGAGGCAAAATAATCTGTTATTTTAGCTAGTTATAGAGATACTTTATTGTTCTCTTGGCTTAGTCTTGAATTCATGTTCATTCAGAACATGGCTCTCTGCCTCTGTTTCTCCTCCGCTTCATTTTCTGTCTCATCTCTGTTGAGTCTGAACTTTGTAAGCAGGAACTGAATCTTGCTGTGTGGGGTGTTTTGGTGGTGTGGGTTTTGGGGTTTTTTGGGATTTTTTGCAGTGGCTTGCACAGTCAACAAGCTAGGTCCTTGGGCTACTTAAGCATTCCAGAAGTGATGGTGCCAGTAGTGATGAATGACTGAACAGACATTCCTCTAATGCTGGAAAGGCATTTTCCCATAATTCATAATAAAGCATAGATTTCACTATATCTGATGGGTTTACTGAGACATAATGAAAAGTTTTGAGATACTGGAAACCAATTCATTCAATATATTCTACTCTTGCTGTGGTGTTTTGGTCTGTTCTTTCATGCAATTTGCATGCTAAAAAGACCTAATACAGCTTGGCCTGGCATACTCAATTCTGAAAATCCCTTGACTGGAAAATTGAATATCTATTGGTTCTACAGCTCTCTGAAAACTCTTGAAATTTTTATGACCAGGTTCACGAATTCATCTGTTGTCCGTTCTTCTTTCTGCAGAAGTAGAGACAAAATTTGCAGACAAGTGTGACCTCATTCTTGACTGACAAGTGTTTATGTACCACTCAACAAATCCTATGCTGTTATATAGAAATTTGCTCTGTGTCCTACCAAGGTGCGCAACATCAGCAGACTCTGTGAACTTAATCTGTAGGAAAGCTTGAGGAAAATGTAGCAATAACTTCATAGAAGTCTTAAATTTATTTGGAGAATGGGAGCTGGTATGTTAATCCCAGCACTTGGAAGTATCAATTCATAATCAATGTTCTGCCAAATTGAGAAACTACCTTTCTTCATTGAGTTACAGTGTGTCTTCTGCAAAGTTTGTACCTTTACTGTGTTTGAAACTTCTGTGATTTATGTGAGCTTTGTGGTAAGAGTTAAAAGTTACAGATTGGTCTCTACTTAGTCTAGGGTAGTCTGATGAATGCGGATTCCTAAATTTCATTTGGATATACTGTTATTGCTGACTATTACTATTGCTGATGATTGCCTGTGCTAACAGGTCTCTGACATGTTCTGTCTTTTTGTCATATATCTTCTTTTGTCCTTAAACCTTAATACTCTGACCTGTCCATGCATGCAAAACCCCGTATATCAGCCAGCAAAATGTATGGAAATTGAAACTTTTGTGATTTATGTGAGCTTTGCGGTAAGAGTTAAAAGTTACAGATTGGTCTCTGTACTTAGTCTAGGGTAGTCTGATGAATGCGGATTCCTAAATTTCATTTGGATATACTGTTATTGCTGACTATTACTATTGCTGATGATTGCCTGTGCTAACAGGTCTCTGACATGTTCTGTCTTTTTGTCATAGATCTTCTTTTGTCCTTAAACCTTAATACTCTGACCTGTCCATGCATGCAAAACCCCGTATATCAGCCAGCAAAATGTATGGAAATAATTCTCTTTCTCCACTAGATTTAAGCAGTTCAAGTTGGTTTCTTTAGAAGGGGTCACAGAAGAATTCAGTGTTGTGTACTTAGCTTTTTGTGGGAATGTAACTTTATAAATGCATTTGTTACTATCATAAAAATCACGTTTTCAAAAGCAATGACATGTCCTTGGATAGAATGACATGTAAAATGGATAACACTAGATGGCAACATACACTCTTTTGTCTGAGTTTGATTTATACCTCTGATTTAAGAGAATTATATGAATTTAAAAAGAAGGCAGTAATGGTTAATAATGGCAGAAATGCTGATGTCCCTAAATTTCAGGAAAAGTTATTTCTTAGGGTCTTCATAGAAAAACTGTCTCCAAAAAGATGTGAAAGAGCTACTCTCTTTGTATATCAGTCAAACAAAGATCAGCAAAACTTAAAAGCAAAAAGACATAAAAAGCCAAACAGCCCCCTCAAGCCCTCCAAAAAACAAAATGAAAACTCTTTCTAAGTAGTAAGCATTTTCTTTCTGGTAAACATTGAGAGCAGCTACTCTTTGTAGGCTCTGGATCACATACCTTTAAGATCAGGTTTATGAATCTAGAGGGAACCCATATGTCACGATGATGGTTTTCTCTAGGCATAAATGTAGGTGAAGTGTCACTGCCCTGCCCTGACTGCCACAGGCAGGAGCTGGCATGGGCTGTTGTAGTTCAGGTACTGAAATCCAGATATATTGCCCAAGTCATCCAGTTGTTGAAGAGCCACTGTGCTAATCTAGCATTGTGTGAGAAGCTGTTCTGCATGCAGATGGGGCAGTGTTGTAATGAAAGTGTGATGCTGCATCTGAACATGCAAGTGCATCTCACCCATATGGTGATTGCCACAAATTTATTTCTCTCGGATTCTACACTCAGTCTCTTTATGTTAATTTTGTAAAGTTCCCGCATAATTTAATAAGCACTGGAAGTATAGCTATTCCTTATTTCTGTTTATTTTTACTTTTAAGTTAAATTTTCCTCTACCTCAATTCGTTCTTTGAGTTTCAATTGTGTAAATTAGAAGTCTTTCAAAAAATGCTATCTGCATAGGTAGTCTGAAGGCGGTTTGGGAGGGGGGGATTTGTTAAGTTTGGGGAGGTTTTTTTTTGGGTTTTTTTTTTTTTTTTTTTTTTTTTAAATTGCTGTAATGTCCCATTGGTGCTGTTCTGTCTGGTGAAATACATATTTTGAGTTAATTTTTGCAAGACTACATATCTCATCTTATCTGACTTGCCTTGTTCACTATAGGAGCAGTTAAAATTTCAGAATCAGAACGTTATGAGGTTTAAATTAATTCCTCTTGGAGTGGCTGTCTTATACTGCTTTTGAGAAGATCAGCTGTTAAGATAAATTGCTTTAAAGAGCCTAAAATGGCATAATTTGTTATTACTTTATTTGGAATTATGTTTAATTTGGCTTTTAAAATATAATTGTATCATACAAGTTATGTACACCTCTGTGCTATATCAGTAAATTTTACGCGTGAAGTAAACAACTGTTAATGATATAGTATGTTATAAAGAGTATTACTGTATCTAACTGCTGCTTTTTATTGTGATTCTAATAGCAATAATTGCACTGAATCATCATAATCTCAATTTTGCTTTTTGTTTAAGTAACCAAACATACGATTTTACTATTGATATAGTTTTTAAAACTTAAAAACAGCCCTAATTTGCCTGGCTTTATTTTTCAAGTGATTGTAATATACAGTAAATGCAAATAATATATTGTCATGTTTTATAATACAAAACCAGACTGCAGAGCCAGCACACTCAAATATACTCTGCGTAAACTTAAACTGTTTTTCTATGTTTTAAAGACCTCAGCAGCTCAAGAAATAGTACTGATTTTGTTTGTGTAGAATACAAGTAGAAACAGTAAGAAATTTGGAACTGCAGTGAACTTAAAACATGCGTCTTAGTGATATGTATCTCTGTGTATATATATTTCTAGAAAAATATATGGTAATGACAGATCTTCATTGTTTTTCAGATGTCAAATTTAAATTTCTATCCTATTCTGCATGTGAATGGCATTATGATACTTGCACAAGCCCTTGTTTCAAGACTTGCAGAGACCCTTTGGGAAAAAACTGTCAGGCAATACCAAAGTAAGTATCTGTATTTTTATGGAAAAGTATGTAATTTGGGTAATATGCAGTATAATAAGAATATGAGGGACCAGATGTAGGCTCAGTATAGCAAGATTGTGTTCTTGTATAAGGAGAAGTGAAGGAGAAAAGAAATGGAATAAAACCTGCTGCGGCTGGTGTGTGAAAGTGACATTTCAGTTAGGTAAGAATTGTCAGATTCTGGAGTTACTAGTATAACTGTAATGCTCAAGATGGGGGAGATGGAGTATTACAGAGTATTAATAAAGAAAGGGGATTATAAGTTTATTTCAAATAGTTGTACACTTACATTTTCTTATGAGATTAGAACAGCTATATCCATCCTTGCCCTTTCCTCCCAATTGGAATTTGTACCATGTCTGGTAAAATGGGCATTTGGATTTTGATACGTAAAAGTGTTTGGCATTTCTTAAGCAGTAGCATTCACTATTGAACCTGTGACCATTCATTTCAAAGGCTGAGTTCATGCCTTAGCTTAAATCTGAGTGAGAATGGAAGCCATGGTAATGACATTTTGAAGGAGTACACTGAAGTGATGAGATCTGGATAGAACAAGATAGTCTACTTAAAAATACTTTATAAATCAATTCTGTTTCCCTCAAATTAAATGCTCAATCCAGATACTGTTCAACTAGTTAAGACTTACTGTTTTTCTTTTAGAGTGGAAGGATGCATCCCTGATTGTCCTCTCAATATGTTGCTGGATGAAACCACTCAAAGATGCGTGTATTTTGAAGACTGTATGTTTGAAAAATTATATGTATTATGTATGACACTTAGCTTAATAATTTCTTAGGTCTTTAGTCAAGTTTTCAAATACCAGTGCTTAAATTTGTGTAACATTGACCTTAGTTATATGAATCTTGAGCTAACTAAACATACATTTTAGTTAAAACAATTTCACCCCTCAAAAATTGAACTAAAAGTAGTCCTTTTTTCTTAAAATACTTCAGCAACATTAGATATGGAGCAAATGATTTAATGAATTTGGTTTTTAAGTTGTCTATGAATTTTAGAAGTTTAAAAGCAATTTACGAGATCAGTTATCTGTGTTAACCTATAACTCAGCTAGCTTCATGGCTATGATAATCCATAAATTTCAGACTGCTATTTACTTTTCTCTGATTTCAGGCATTGAACCTGCAGATGATAGTCTAGCTTTGTCATCCAGCATTCAAACACCATCAGTTTCACACATGACATCAAGTACAAGTTTGGCAGTGATCAGTGAAGCTCTGACTCCATTTCCTGTACCTGAAGCAATAGACATGGAAACAATTGCTTCAAAATTGCAAGTGACTGCAACTACAGGGAAAACTGAATTTTCAGCTGTTACATCTCATACAACATTTCCAAACATATCTTTATCATCAAATATTTCTTCGCAGTCAACAGAAATTACATCTGGGAGAAGCACTACAGCAGTGTCTGGGACAACAAAATCTAATGTAAGCTTGTCTTCTCCCACTGACATTTCTTCATTGTTTCTGTCTACTGTCACTTCAGAAACTTCCACAAAGATACAACCAATCAGTAGTGGTTCCACTGAACTGTTGAGGGCTACAGAACCTCAGGCAGTAACTGCTACAAATGCAGTGACTACAAGCACGGAATCAGAAACCGAAACAATTGCTACTTCTATTTCTACTGGGCCACAACTAATACTTAGCACAGGAGAAACACCAGTCAAAACTAAAAAAATGGAAATACCAGAAATAGCCACAAGAACACTTCCCACAAAAGAAGCACAAGTAAAACCAGAAGGACTTAAAACACTTACACCCAGAACATTTGAATCAATAACAGAAAAAACTACTGCCTATCTGCTCCAGTTTTCCACATCACCACCTCTGGGCACGCCTTCATATGCACCACCAGTAGACCTAACAGAAACTTCAGGAGAGACAAAAATAAGCATAGGACAGTCTTTTCCCACAGCAACTAACATTACAGTAACATCATTTTCTCCTGCAATCACTGCTTCATTAAAACCGGCATCTTCAGCAACAACAAAAGAAGCAACTGTTTTAACTGAACAAAGCATGAAGACTACATTGTCAAAAGCATCCCTACCACCTATTTCATTAGAGAAGGCAACTACACAATCTGCTATCGAAATGGTTCAACACCTCACTGGTACTGCAGAGATACCTTTCACTACAACTCTAGGTCCAAAGGCAACAACTCTGCGAACTCAAGAGAGAGCATCAGAAACAACTTCACTATCATTTACAACTCATAAAACAGAAACTCCTAAAACAACATTTCATGTGGAGCATATGTCAAGTTCTTATTTCCCTCCATATTCACTACATCCTAGTTCTACAACTGAAGAATCCCTCACTCTTTCTACAAAAAGACCTTCAGTGTCTGTTCCTACTCATGCTTCAGGTGAATTAAAAAAGACATTTAAAACTGTTTCAACTACAAAATATCCTTCATACATAGTTCTAAACACAACAGGGTTCTTAACTACATTATACACTAAATATCCTGTTGTGGCTGAGACTATCAAAGTGACACCTTTGTCTGTTGAGGGAATATCCAAAATAACATCCCCTTCTGAATTAGTGGCAAAGTCAACGTTGTTTTCTGGAAAAACATTTACAGAACACAAGTCAACTCTGCTTTCAAGTACAGTGAAGACAAGCACTTCAGCATATTCAGGTAGTGTTACCACATCAGCAATGAAAACATCTGTCCCATCAAAACAAACTGCCACAGTTCCTTTCGAAGCTACAGAGTTGGCTGAAAGAGCATCCATCACCGGATCTCCACTTAGTGCAACTGAAACCACATTGTTGACAACACAGCCTGATACATCACAAGTAGAAAGAATTACTGGCATCTCTACTAGAAAGCCATCTGCCTTCCCTTTTACACCATCAAGTTCTCTAATCTCCTTAAACATTTCTCTTCCTTCACTACCCTCCTATGGAAAAGAAGCATCACTGACAGCTGTCAGTCCCATGCATACATCCCATGAAACAACCTCTTTATATTCAAGAACAACTCTGTCAAAATCTATGTTACGAACGGAAAAGACCTCTCCAGTCCTGAATTTCTCTGTTTTATTCACTATAACAGAACAATCAAGTCCAATAACTACAATATCACGTGACAAATCACCAGGCAAAGCCATTTTAAATGTCACCTATGCCACATTCTCTCCATCTTCTGAATTCAGCAGTCAGCTCATAACAACCAAAAAAGTAATGACAGCCAAAGAAAAATCAACTCTGCCCCCTTCTTTTATACTTCCAGTAACAAAGACCTCTTACCCTTTCTCCACCTCTCAGTCTCTAGCAGATAAATGGGTTTCTTCGCCTTCTTTAACACAAATTATACCAGAAGTAATAACCACACCAAAATATCCAGTAGAAACTAAAACAGTTTCTACAGCATTGGAATCTACAGTCCAAAGTACAACAGATAAAGTAAAACTTACAGCAGCTAAAGCTCAGCCATCCTTTCCTCCATCTTCAGTAGGCTCCTCCTCTTGGCAGACATATTTAGGAGACAGATTTTCAGTACAGACCACAAAGACCATGGTTTTACCACTTTTTTCTACTCAGAAGGCTATGGAACTTGGTCATCAGACTTCTGAGTCTTTGTTGACAAGCCACAGTATCACCCCAATATACCCGTACACTGCAAAAACTCTAACAAAATCCAGTGATCAACCACAACGTGTCTTTAGCACAACTGGAGCTACAGTAAAATTGACTTCTTTGTACCCCTTAGTCACCTCACTACCTGAAGACGTTCATTCAAGTATATTACCTACCTTAGCAGGTCCTACACAAGTTATTGTGCCAACTGGAAAAGAGTTGCATTTAACTGATTCAGTAACGCAGCCATACATATCAAGGACTTCTTCTGTTTTGCAACCTACAGTCCTAACTAGGATGCCAGCTGACTTGTTTTTTGGCACCAGAATTCCTCCTTCCTCACCAGAAGTGTTTGAATCTTTCTCTTCTTTAGCAACAATTAAAAAAGAAGTATTTCCTTCATTTTCCACACAAAAGGCAGGTACTAGTCGAAAATTCACATGGCAGGCCTCATTTACTGAGTCACTTGATTCAAGTCAAACACTTGAAACAACTACAGCTTCGTCAGGATCTAAGCCAGCTTCTTCATCGGTTTTGTTAACAGAAACAACAGAAATTCCCATTGTGATGGGGAGTGAGCCACCAACATCAAGGAGCAAAAGTGATACAGAGAAAACTTCAGTGTTGCCTAAGAAAGTCACACTTTCAACTACTGCCTCCAGTTCCATGTTTCTAGCAAGTACGATGTTGCCAGCTATGGCCCCTTCATCATCTGCAGCTTCAGCCTCTTCAGTGATAAGCAGTAGTGGGAAAAATGTTAGTATTGTATCAGCAACTTCAGACAAAGCAGAAACAGTAACAGAATCTATCACAAGCTCTGTGAAGGCCACCTATTTTTCTGTTGCTTCCAAAGCAAAAGGAGCTATGCCCCCCGATACAGTAAAATCTGACGAGCCAGAATTAATAACAGAAGTCCAAACTGTCCAAGTTCAAGGTGCTACCGCTACCCCAGAAACACCTCGAACGTTTTACTCTCCATATTTCACGAACATAACTGCAGTTCCTTCTAATATCAGTGTATCAGTACTGTCTACTGTACATTCATCCTCTGAACCGAAACCTTTTTCTTCTATAGCTGTGTCATCGGTCAGGACAACTCAAACTTCAAAACTTGAAATATCATCTGAGGTGCAAACACCTTCTGTGAGCTCACTGCTAATGATATCTGACCATCCAAATGACACAACAGCTCCATCAGTTTCCTCATTTGCCTATTTATCTACCAAACCACTTTATGGCTTGACTACAACTTCTTCTGATGAATTGGCAACAGCTGAAGCTGTATCAGGCACCACAGCATCAGCTTCTGTGCTGCCTAGAGAAACAGCAACTCTTCCAACTTGTACAGTGAGTAACCGTATCTGTTTGGTTTTGAAAATGTCTTGGCTGCTTTCACACACTGATAAAAAAAAAAAAATAATCATGAGCCATATTTTGATCTTTAGGATTTAAAATATCTGTATCAAACAGGGAGCCCTATTATTTTCTCAGTTATATCTGAAACTTTGGATGATTGCATTGTGCGTAATGATTTTTACAAGTGCTATAATACACTGTGGTTTAGGCCTAAGTTTTCTGAGTATGACTCTTACAAGAATGTTGTTTTGGCAAAATATGGTGCTTCGTATTGTTCAGTGGCAATTTCTTGTCACGTTGCCCTCCTTGAAGGATATCTTTTCAGAGATCCATGTTATTCCTACTTGTGCCATTCCATACTTTTCCTGCTCAACTTTTTTTTTGACTGTAAATTTAAAATTCAGTCATGCTGTTCTCCGCTTACAACAGGACAGCAGTTTTAAACTGACCTCAGGATGGCTCGGTTTTCTCCATCAGTGTTACGCAGATTCATAAGCATTCTGTACCTGAGGAATGTGAGCAAATACTCTGCAATAATGTGATGTTAGCTTTGCAAGAATGGTAACCTATGTCTTCTGTTAAATATGCCTTAGCCAATCACAGAAAATGAGTGCATAAAACACATTTGCTTGGATGGACAGCTGATCCAAGTTAATAAGTCACAGAACTGCCCATACAATGCAACTCAACCCAGCTGTGGAGTCTTAGGATTTGCTACTCAAACAAATGGTGACAAATGCTGCCCAAGGTGGGAATGTGCATGTAAGTTTTAATTCCACAGTACTTTTGAAGTGAATTTAGGTAATAGTTTAATGCATGTGTAAGAAGGCTAAGAACTGGCACTTCTAGATTATGGTGTAGTAATAGATGATTGTCTCATGCAATTTATAATTCTAGTTCTACATTACATGTAGGAAGTGAAATCAAACTGCTCCTTTAATGTAGGATATTTCTCTTACCCAGCTTTAGATATCTGCAGAGACATGTCTAGGTCTGTCTTAGACCCATCTTGTCTTCTGTCTAATCAGAGGACACCTAGTCAATATAGTCAGTGAATTTTTTCGTTTATTTTATACGTACTTTAGAATGAGAAGAATCCCTAGCCTCTGTTAACTAGCTTTGTTAACAGTTTTGGGACTCTGAAAGCATAGCTGTACTGTACTCACGCCCATCAGTTACTTAGAATTGGGCAGTAAGAATCGAAATATTAAAGAAAATTCAGTTTAGTCCAGAATAGCAAAGAAAATATGCAGGGAAAGCAATGCAAATTTCTGATTATGCTCTAGAATTTTAAATTACTGGGAGTAGAATTCCAAGCCCTTTGAAACACAAAAGCTTTAGCACTAAGACTCTGAAGAAGGAAACTCTCCACTTGAGATCCCACCTTTGGAACATGACTAGAAGGGAACTAATGATCTGTCATGATCCACTGTTCTTCATGTGTTTTGCTAGTTTGGGGTTTGTAAAAATTACAAACCTTTGCTGCAAGAACTGTAAGAAAATTACTGATTGCAGAGGTCTGCAGGTTGTCCCACTGAAATATGCATGATTTGACTCTGCTCTCCGTTTACAGAGATGCAACAGTTTCAAATATAGCTGAAAATGTGCTGCATATATGGAGCTTTAGTTTAGCACATAGTAAGCAAGCTAGTTAATCTTACAAATCTTACTGGATTATCTTCATATTTTGTAATATTTCCAGAAATTCTAAAATAAGTTAGAAAAAAAAACCATTTTTTTTATTTTTCTTAGGTCGTTGCACAATTTTCTCTGATCTGAGCATTGTAACCTATGATGGAAATCATTTGGCATTATTCAAAGAAGCATCCTATGTCGTTAGTCAAACTCGAGATGAAACTATAACCATCCATGTCCTTGACTGCAGACTGGTAACTAACATTAGCTAACAGATGATGTTAAATACTGCTAATAAGACACATCTTAAAAGAAAGAGCATATTAATACTACATAGCTGTGGTTAATATTCAGTTCTGTGTAACGTCTGTGAATCCAACATGCACTTTACAACACTTATGAATTGTATAGCATTTTATCACCTGACTGTATATGCAGAGTTCCTCCTGAAACAGCTGGAAGGTGAGAAGTAGGTCCAATTACAAATGCATGTTTCTTAGCTATGTTCATATGGAGAAGTTTGCACTGGAAACACCAATCTTCAGAGCCATAAAAGACTTTAGGATTGTCAGACTAAATTAGACCACCCTGTGCATTCCAAGTCTCTCACAGGGGCAAATACTTTTTGTTTCAGGGAAGGAAGAGATAAACCCTAATGGGTATCCTGATAATGGGCAGCGTAATTGGCTTTATGTCATGAAGAGTTTATTTCTTGTGAGCCTTTACAAAACTCCTTAAACTCCACTTTCTTTTATAAAAGCTAGGTAGTTTTGATGTCTATATAAATGTCCTTCACAAAGTTTGGTCTGAAGTAATACTTTATGGGATTTAATTCCAGAAACTTAGTATGATTGATATTAAAAAGGACATCTGGCTTTCAGATTTGTTTTCTTGTATTCAACACTTTCTGTTTTGTTCAGTACCTTGTAGATCAGGGAGTATGCATGTATTTCTGTTCCATTACTTCTGTACGTATGTAATATCATAATTCCTAGTCTCATTCTTGCTCACCTTCAGATATGTTCATATTTTTGGTGTCTAAGTACATCATATTTTTTTCCTGAAAAATCTTTATTTCTGTTGTAATTTCAAAATCAGGTGATACAATACGGTTGCTGAACACAAAGAGATCATATTGTTTTGTTTATTTTGCAATACTGCTACCTAGCTGCACTTTGTAGTTCAGACTTGAAACTGCAATCAGCAGCAGTTTTCCCCTCTTAAACTATACCTCCTAAGACCCCTTACTGTCCCAATACCTAAAACCAATAAGCAGCTAATGTATAAAGATTTTGCACATCATGACTGTGGTTTATGTATTTTTGCTTTCTCTACAGAGAAATTCAAATTCAACTTCTTTGTGCCTGGCAATGTTGAATCTAACCTATGTATCAAACCAAATTATTATCAATCGTTTAAGTAGAAAAGTAAGTATTTTGAGGGTTTGTTTTTCTCTGCCTTTTAGATAGCAACTTCTGTAATCAACTGCTGCTTTATGTAGATATCAAAGATTAGAGTAGGACACAGCAGGTCATATAATTCATGGTTCCAACTTTATAATTAAAGTGCTAGTAAATTCAAAGAGTAAAACCTTGATACAAAGACAGTTAATGAGGTAAGTCAGAGCGAAGCACACAAACCCTTAGTCTCTTTAGTACCTGTATTATTTTTGAGGAGGTGAGCCTGACTTCTGTTGAAATTAGTTATGAGTTAGATTCCTAAGCTGTTGAGAATCTGGCCTTAGTTGTTCTACCTACAGCACTTGGTAACCTCTTTTTGGTGTGTATTTTAGATAACAGTAAATTCAAGATTTGCTTGGCCTACTGTTAGAAAATATGGATACAAAGTGGAGGATTCGGGCTTCAAGTATGCAGTTGAGACCCCAACAAAAATCAGAATTCAGTGGTTTCACAACACGGGCATAATGATTATTGAGTTTAACAGCACTAGAGAAGCAAGAGCTTTGGGACTATGTGGTAAGTATAGACTAGTGCAAGAAATAAAGGCATTCACATGTTTTGCTAGGGAGGCACATTCCTAATTATATAAACTATCATTTGCATGATCTGGGCCAAAAAGAGTTACAAAAGATTATAATATTGTTAAAATTAAACTATTATTAATTTTGTTAATTGCTTAAATCATGTTTGATACCTATCCATGTAATCATTTTTTACCCATAGTGTTGCTTCTGTCTATAACCTGTTCGGATCTTAGGCATGATTGTTGTAACCAAGCCCAAACAAGTAAGGCAGGCATAAGTCCATAATGTCAAATAAAGTAATTTGCAGATTTAGTGTTTGACATCCGTCTGATAGAAAACGATATGTGCTATTTTCAGTTTCTAAAGGTCAGAATTCACAGGAAATATTAACTTGAGAGAACCAGTCTTAGTTTATCTGTCGGAGGAAATAGTTCAGAGGGAATTTTTTAATAGTAATGGGTTAAATACCCTCATGTTGGCTCTGCTAGGATTGCTCAATAGTTTCACCAAGTTTCTTTTTTTCTAAAAAGTATAGCCTTGAATACGTTGCTGGTGCTACAGTTTTTACAAGCATATACTTGTTGATGTAAATCCCTGCTGCGACATCTGAATCTGTAAATTTATCTGCTGTAAATTGGAGCTGGAAACCAGGGTTATAGAGTTCATACAATTACAGTGGATATCTTTCCAGTTTCAGAAAGGGCAAATGCCTGTGTCTCAGTATCAAATACCAGTGATAGCTCAGTCCAGTTCCAAGTCCTGCAGACAGTAATGTGATTCTCACAAAGGAAGAGAGTTTGAATTTACTGTGATTTTGAAATTGGATTCTTATCTGTAATTTGCCTTAACTTTCACTTTCAACATCATTCTTGCTCTTTTTAGCTAGTTCTTATTATTAAAGACAGTATTTTGTAGCAAGCCTGATTAAAGTTATTGTGGAAGTTTCTTTTGCCTTTACCTGTTTGATTACTGTAATAGGGAGAATTAGGAACATTACATTCCTGGTTTACAAGGTGCTTTAAGTAGATGACAACACATTTCTGTGATTGGTGTTCCAAGTACAACTTCTTCAGAGAATGTGCTATATTTTTCTGGTATTTATCACTGATTGGGATTCTAGGCATAAGTCTGCCTGCGCAGTGCTGTCTGGTGTCAGCTTTAAAGAGCTGGTTGTACTGCATCTTTTCAGGGTAAATTAGACTACCCTCATCTCCTGTGCTGTCTGTGTTAGTCTGCTTCTAGTGTTTGAGCTTTCTCAGATGTCTTTTAGCTGAAGTGCAGTATTGGTAGATCCTGATTTCTAAGCTTCATGGAAGTGATAAAACTGAAGATACTATTACAGTTCTATAGCGCAAGCATCCCTTGGAAGGGTCTGTGTAAGAGACAACAGTGTCTTTTACAACGGAAGTTTTGGGCAAATGTGGCAACTGGTGAAGAGCTGGTGTGGGAGATCAGGGATGTGGAAAGGTAACATGGACATCTCCGTAGAAAACAGGTGAAAGAGAGTGCAAGCATATCAATTTTAGCTGCAGTCAGGTCCTGCTAAGCCAAAAGTGAAGCCTTAATTTTACTGTGCTAAATCTCATTGTCAAAGTGTAAGAGAAGTGAAAAAAGTTGTCCCAGACAAGACAGCAATCCTTTGAAATCTCTGAGAACCATCAAGAACTTCCTATTTGTGTTGCACAGACTCACAGCCTCAGAAAGTTCAACGAGAAACATTTCTGATAGACTAATGGTTACAGTTTCAAAAGCTGTTTTACCCTCTGAGTACCTATTGCTGTATCACTGCAATGGCTTGTTCTTGTGATCAAGAAATTTGAAAATGGTAACCAGAGCAATTCTCTAGAAAATGATTAAAACCACGAATAAAAAGATAAAAATTTAGAATTGCCATTCAAGTTTGTGGAGGTGTCAGAAGAAAACATTCTAGAAGTCTGATACAAAAGTCTCAGAAATTGTAATTAGGAAAAAAGAATGAGGGACTGCATTTTTATACCTGCTGGCTCTTAAAGGACCTCCAGAGGAGACTACTGTAATACCTGGATGTTCTGTGTTGACCATAGTCACTCTCCATGTGTTACATTGCTTCCTTTGTTCCAAAGTGTTTCAAAATTGCCAACTATCTTAGTTTAAACAGGAATAAAATGGGATTCTGCCTTCTGAGAAATGAATACAGAAAAGGTTGGAGTTTTTTTCCCCTGCTGAGGGATAATATAAGTATACCTGGAAGTGACAAAAGTTGCACTTTTATAGTAGCTTTTAAGCCAGTAGATGCTCAGAAGCATAAGTAGAATAGTAGAAGATATCTGCAGTATCAGATAAGCGTCTTGGCATTTTTACAGGAGTTCCCTTTTCTGATAACATTTACAGTTACATGGAGGTGCTTTGTAAAATTTTTAAAACTACATTTTTATTTAATGCTTGTGCAACTGAGGGGTGATGTTGTGTGCCATAGCTGTGCTATCTGAACAGCTTTTTGGTACGGAATATATTTCCCTTCATAGATGTATCTTTACTTTTGCTTTGCTTAACTTGTCTGAATTTTGTGTATTTTGATCCTACCAAGAACTTTCTACGTCTGTTGTGGATTGTTATAATGTCATGGTGTAGAAGTTTTTTATAAGCTGTTTGTTTGTTTGAATATGCCACTTTAAACGTACTTCAGAATGAACCATTCAGTGTTAACCTGATTTTCCTTCTGATAATACACAGGGGTTTGTGATAGAAGCTTGGAAAATGATCTGATGCTACCCAACAGGACAGTTTTAAGCAAAAGTGATGCTCCGACGACTTTTATAGACAGCTGGCAAGTGCCAGACACATTAAAGTATGTTGGAGAAGACAGGCATCAGGAAACTAATTGCTCAGTCATGGACTGCTCAGAGTGCTTAAGGATGGTGTTGAACCAGACCTTCAGCAGCTGTCATCCTTATGTATGTTAACTATTTCGGAAGCTTACACTTTGAGAGAGATGCAGTTCTGATGTGTTTGTGTACTTGATAATTTCATTAATGTGAAACTACAGGCAACCACATTTATGAAATGAAATATATACCTTTTTGTATTTACATTTGCAAGTTAAAAGATACTGAAGAGAGTGTCAGCTTCATAGGAGAGTTGCAATAAGCAACTAACACTTTCAGAATACGTCATACATCTCTCAATTTTGACAATACCATCTAATTTATAAACTAGTCCCAGCTAATTCAATTGTATCAATATGATGTAGAGCAAAGTAAAATGAAATACTTTTAGGATTTAATTAATCCTTAAGCATTCAGTAATTTAAGAAGTTTCAAGTTGCAGTAGGTAATTTGAGAGCCTGCATTCTCAAAGGCTCTAAAGACAGGGAGTTCCAGCCTAGAGAGATGAGAGAGTAGAACAGACCATTTAAAGCAAACCTAAAGAAAATAACAGACTTGCAGTTTGCAAATAAAGTATTCATTTGTGATCATATGAGTACATTTACAATTTCACCTTTGGTATAGTGTTGAGTTTGGTGAAGAGGAGGCCAAAAAGAGGCAAATATAGAAGTAAGGAAGAACAAGGAACAACAAGTAATCATGCCTTCTATTGGAAAAAATATATTAGCTCTTGACTTGGCACTTCTAAGAGATGAGACTGAGGAATATAAGGAAGTTACCATTTGGGAAGCCTTTTAAATACTAGTAAATTCTCTTTGTATACCAATGAAGCCTGACTGCCTCTCACTTACTGTGAACTAAGAACTTTTGCCTTCATTGTTTGTAGCTGATATTTTAAAAGGTCAATCTTTTTCCTGCCTAGCAGGGTCTCTATGAAGGTGCAATATTTTTTATTTTTCTGTTGTTAGGTTCCACCTGAGCTATTCTGTGATATATGGGTTCAAGATGCCGAGTACATTCGAAATCCATGCATTTCGCTAGCTGCCTATGTGGCTATGTGCAACAAATTTAATATTTGTATAGAATGGAGGAGCTCTGATTATTGCCGTAAGTATTCTGCATGTATGTGTACCTCTAGTGTTCGGAGAGAAAATTTGCCTAATATAAAGTTACTATAAGTTGAAAATATCAGTGCTCCTTGAGTCCTCATGTACTTCGGAAGTCATGATTGAGATGATAAATTCAGCACTTTTTTATGATGCAGTAGAAAACAGTGTGCAAAAGGAATCAGGATCATTATAGCCATTTCACAAATGGAAAAGGTAAGCTAAAGAACCTTGCTCAGAAGCCTTCCTCTGGCTTATTTTGCACTTAACTGTAGAAGTCAAATCTTCTCACTTGCAGTGTAGTGTTCATTTCTCTCAGCCATTTTCCACTGATAAAACCTAAAACCCCAGAATTATTTGCGGAAAGGAGGAAGCCACAGAAAGCAAGTTCTGTGGTACTTTGAATTGGTCATTTCTGACAGCTGCAGAAAGCTGTGCCTTTGGCAAAAGCATTAGAGAAATTAAACACCTTTGATATTAGATGGAAGGTAAGGAGTAAAATCTGAGAGCTAGAGTATCCTGGTGGAAGTCACCTCCCATAGCAGCATACTGAAACATAAGGCCAAATGTGATTTGTAGTTGTCAGTGAATAGAAAACATGGACTACAGCATCTCTTTATGCTGTCAATGGTCACTGAGGAAAAGGAGGTCTGTGGTTTCAGTGCTTGAAAAGGGAAAGACTTATTGATGAAGTGCGGTCCCCAAACTAAGAAAACTCACTGTACATAGAAATCATAAGTGATGTCTGTTTTAAAGTGATTTAAGGTGTGTATGCATATGCGGGCTGCGTGCAGGCATGTTGTAATGCCCTGCAAATACTTGTGGAGTCTAAAGCTTAAAAACAGTCAATTAAAAAAAAAAAACAACAACCTTCCGTTTGTATGGATTTTACTAGGAAATAACTGTTAAAAAGAGATCTTACAAAATATATCTGTAAATACAGTCACGTATTCCATCCATCGTGAACGGGCACATCACTCTTGTACCACAGTGACCTCTGGTGGTGCGTGCCTAGCAAGGAAGAACCATGAAGCCGCATCTGGATTTTGTGGTTGCTAAGTGTTGATTTGACATACACTGATTTTTAAAAGCCCGAGTCCCTCTATTTACAGGGCTGTAATGCATTTCCTGTAGGGCATTGTGACCATTTTTAGTAGTGAGGAGCTGAATATAATCAGCCTTCTCTCTCAATTAATCTTTAAAGTCTAAACTGGAAACTTCTTTATTTTTGAGCAGACAGACCCTTTGTGAACTTGACTTTTTCTCATTACCATGATTCCAGATGGTATTGCTGTATGACTTAGGCATCATTACATGATGAATATCATATATTTTAGTATTCCACACAACCACATTGTTGGCATTTGTAGTCATTCTTAGTTTGCCTCATTTATGCAGATTTTATCACAATTTTGAACCAATGAAAATCACATTAAGTTTTCAACAGCAAAAGCTATATCACAATGAGATGCTTTTTTTTTCTTGTCTACTCCTGTGTGCAGCCATAACATGCCAATGAATTTACATTAGTAAAGAATGTTAAATTTAACTGTGTTCTTTGACTTAAAAATAACACACAAGAGATTAATTAATGTGGATATCTATTAAATATAATAATTACTTGATCCCATTATTTATTATTTCATGGTAAAAAAATGCTAAATTTGCTTTTACATATATATTTTTGTAATTAACAAATCTTTCCCCTTTACTAATCACTGCATTTTCTTTAGCCACTGCAAAGTATTCAGAATGATTCAGAACACTGTATTATTAACCCATGTAGTCTAATTTATAAATGGTTTTGAAGTTAAATTACTTTGCATCAGCACTTCTGCCTGATTTGATATCTCTACTGTCAAAATGCAAACTGAGGCCTGTTAAAAATGTTACTTCAAGAAGAGGAGTAACAGTGCATGCAAGTTCATTTTGTTTGAATTTGTCGTGTAGAGGGTAACTGGTCTGTATCGGTGTTTTAGGCTGGTATATCCAACTGAATTGGCAAGCACAGAAAGCTGATAAGAAGACAATAATATCTTCTTTTAGGTATTGCCTCATGTGATTACAATTTCAGAATGAGTTAGTTGTTTATTTCCTTCCTAGCCTTCCCCTGCTCTGAAAACTTCTCCTATCGGGCTTGTATAGCCGCCTGTGAAGTTCCAGATAGCTGTCAGAATAACGAGGTTGTTTCTCTGGACTCAGACTCCTGCTCACTGTTGACAGAAGGCTGCATCTGTGCTGGAGGGACCATCCTTCACCGAGCTCACACTGCTGTCTGTATTCCTGAAGAAAAATGTGGTATATATGGATGCGATTTTCTTCTTTATTATCTGCAAGTTGGTGGTCAGATACTTGATTAGTAATAAGTTGAGTTCTGGCCTGATGTTTTATGGGTTCTGCATATGTCATTCAGTTGGGGACTTCAGGTAGTCAGTAAACATAAACTGTACACGTGAACAAGCAGGGAATGTCCTTGTGACATACAATTTTGCTCACCTTCTCTCTGCTAGAGGATGCTCTTTAAAATTGAAGTTTTTGCTTATGTTTATACATTCCTAGCGTTCTACTTATGTTAGTTTACCTCCTTTTCACTTTGCCCTCTGGCAAGGGTCCAACCTATCAATAGTAAATGGCATTCAAAAGACATGCAGCAACAGTTAATTACACATTTTGAATAATACATGTATATTCCCTCTGTTCTTTTTGCCAGCATTGATATTTGTTTTCATTACAATTCTGCCTGAACATATCAATTTATGGACCAATACTTAACACTAACAACATAAACTTTAAAGATGCAGTTTATTATAAATTAGATTGCATAAAACCCTGTAAATTTATAATAGTTTTGATGTATGTGAAATAAAAAAGTAACTTATTTTCAGATTACTGGTTTAAAAACAAAGAACTGGATAGGGATTTTAAATGACTAGCCTTGCAGGGGAGACACAAAACAAAGTGGAGGCCTTGAGCCTCTGGAGGATATTGAGTGTCTTGCTTTCTCAAACAAACTCAGTCTCAGGCTGTCTCCTCTTTCACTTTTTTGTGGGATGATGGGGATAGGTGATGCCTTTAAAGCTCTGGGATTTTTATACTTCATAGATCCACACCCACTGTGGAAGAAAATGGTGGTCAAAATTTGAAGTAAAAAGGAATTACTTCCATTTTCTGTTGTCCTGATCTAGCTTGTACAGATAGCTCAGGAGCACCTCATGCAGTAGGTGAGATCTGGAAAACTTCTTCGAGCGGATGCTGTATGCAAAAATGTGTTGACAGTGAGACCATTGTTCCAGTGGAGTACAGCTGTTCAGATATCCACAATTTGCACTGTGAGAGATTCGCAGAAGTGGCCTTGCTTGTTCCTGGTGACCCGACATGTTGCCCTCAGCAGATCTGTAGTAAGTATTCCTCAATGATTATGAATACTGCCTGATGGAATTTGTAGATATCCTTTCTCTGAAGTTTGTTTTCCTGTTACACATCCTACTTTTGAAGTGAATGAAAAACTTGGATTTGAATTTACAGATTATGTAGAAAACTGTTAAAACTTCACATTATTTGGCTCAGTACCCTCAGTAGCACGGTTTTTGGAGAGTTGTAAAGGGAGGGGACAAGAGTTGTAAAGACTGAAATAGCACTGTTTTTATCTGGATATGAACTGTGTTTCTCTTAGCTGTACAGGCTACTGATTTATTTTTAATATCCAAATACAAATAAATGATACAACTAATTCCAAGAAAAAAGGATCAGATGATTGTTTATCTAATTTACAAAGTGAGCAGTAAAAAAAGGATATAAAATCTTTTTTTTTTTTTTTTTAAATCCTTATTTAGATTAGAAAGTCCATCTTCTTAAAGAAATTGCAAGCAGCTTCCATGTTTTGACCACCTGGGATGATGTTGCAGTGACTTTTCCACGTGATATTTTATATTTTTGATGTTTATTTTATTTTAAATTCTCACAAGGACTCAGCTCTAATTTAACTTTGCCTCCATGGAGAGTGTTGCAAATGCCAGACACTTCTGAATACTGACTTAGGGGTTTTTGCTGGCTTATTGTGGTTTTCAGATGCGTGTTGTTATTTGGAGATTTGGGGTATCAAACTGCAAATACTGCTTGCCATTGCTCTACTCAACTTATAAAAGCATAAGATAGCTTAGAAGGTTTCTTGTTTTTTCTTTCCCTTTTTGTAACAGTTTGTAATCAAAGCCTCTGTGAACCCTTAATCCCTGAGTGTAATGCCTTGGAAAAGCTGGTCACTTACTACAGTGAAGAATCCTGTTGTCCCAACTATGTTTGCGGTAGGTTTCTTTTCAAAAGATAAAAATGTTCATCCTGTAAAAGATATTCAGTAAACTAAACAGCTCAACTTATAATCAAAAAGGTAGTTAGTGTAGACTCATTTTTAATATGGCCATTTATTAAATTATCTTTCATCTAAAAGCTCAGGGTTAGTCTGTGCCTCTATTTGAGCAGATAGAACGATGAAGCAGATGAATGATGTGCTTAACGATCAGGCAAGAGTGTGCCTTTGCTCTTTTGCAATACAAGATAAAAAATTTTCTAAAGCATCTTGGTAGTATCTCTGTTCTGCACTGCCATTTCTTAACTACACATCATAACAAAGGAGGAATGTACATCTCTTGTACCTTTTTTCAGAATGTGATCCAGCAAAATGTGAACCAGTGGAGCAGATGCCAAGCTGCCGAGATGATCAAACACTAATTGCTGCTCGAGTGGAGAGTACCTGCTGCATTTCCTATATATGTGGTACGGTGTCCTGGCTGTTTGAGACTATAAGTGCTTTTACATATGCAGTGATGTCTACTAGTATCTTGCTAACTAAGGCTCCTTATACTTCCGTTAGCTCTCCCAACATAGTAAGGCTTGAAAGTGGTTAAAAAAAAAAGGACATTAAGCTTATAAAACATAAGAAATGGCAACAACCATTAAGAGTCACAAGACAGCTTTGTTCAACTGAGTAGTTGGGTCATGTAGAGGAGTGGTGTTGGAGTCCATGGATGAGGTAGTTGAGGGCTTTTGAGACTGTCCATGTACAGTGCATGGACATTTTATCTGAAAAAAGGTTCAAGTTGTATATGCTCTTGCTTCCTATATTCTGTTGTATGAGCTGTGGACCATCTTACTCAATGGTAAACATCTCATATGAAACTATTATGCAAATTTGTTCAGTTCTTTTGTAGTTTGGCCTTTAATGACTGAATTTATTAATAAAATTACACTTTGAGCATCAGTATAGGAGTTCTGATGTTACCATATGGGTTTTCTGATAATAATGTGATAATGAGGTCCTATTGAATTTACTCTGGTTTTGCCCATAGATACCTGTGAATCAGAGGCTGACTCATCTTGATTAGCTCTTCCATGTGCAAAATTTGAGCATTAGTAGAAAACTTGAGTTACACTTCTGCTGTTTACAGTAATCAGGGGGTCACTTTGATCATGTGACAGTGATGTGCTGTGTTTGGCTCTTCGCTGTCTGCACAGCATCCTTCTGTCTCTCTTTTGATATAATGAGTCTTTGCACTGTGCATATTAAAAAGTACCTATTGTGGTTTTCATATGTGTTCAAGTAGGAGATTAACACGGGGATCACAGCAGATGACCCTTATTAGGGATCAAAGATCCTATGATTTGGGCAGAAGTATATTCCTGAAAACAACAGTATGACTTGGTAGGAGAGAAAATCTAGCAAAATTTTCATAACAGAAAGGCAGAGAAAATCCTGTTTGTTGTGATCCATCTCACAAATAGTATATTCATTCTTTATAGCAGGGGACAAAGAAAAGGCAAGCTGCACTGAAAATTAGCCTCTTGTTTAGGGACTATAAGGAATGAATACAGAGCACCTTTGTTCTCTTTCATATGTGTCTGCGACAAAATTATGGGAAGTAGTAAAACTTCTTCCCATGTTTTTAAATAATTGTTTTTTCCAGCATGTGGGGCTTGCTCTGACCAAATACCCAAATGTCAAGAAGGAGAAGTTCTTATTGTGGATAACAACACTACAGAGAGGTGTTGCCCTACTTATCACTGTGGTAAGTTTGACTTAATTTTGATATTTAAAGTAATAGAGAACATGTTAAATTTTGTAGTCTGGATGTTCAGTGCCAAAAATGGTGTCTCGGAGAGATAGTTCCACTTGTGCATGTAAGCAAGCTATCATCTGTAGTCTTGAACAAATAATCTTTACTTTTAAAACTTCATGTGCCTAAAGCATTATCTCAATATCTGTACCATGGACACAAACGAGTAATCTCAGGCCCCCAATTATGGAGATTTATAACTGTCGTAACAACAGCCCAGAGTAGCTGTACTCCAGGCTACTATTATGGCTAATGATTACATTTAGATTGTTAGTCTTTTCAAGTAAGATATTTTCTAAAAGTATTTATTATGAATAAGTAATTTGCTGTCTCATGATTCATGTTTCCATTCATCAAAATATGACAACCTTGTGTTTATTGGACTTTCTTTTCTTTAATTTTAGTTTGTGAAATACATCGTTGTCCTGACTTCAAATGTATGCTAGGCATGTCTCTGGTGGAGGTATGGAGCCCAGAGAAGTGCTGCCCCTTTCGGACATGTGGTAAAGTGATTGATTTTCATTTTAGTTGATTAGACAATAGGACACTGACAAGAGCTTTGGCCTCTTGAGTTTAAGTCTAGTTTCAGCAAACTATACCATTGTGATCTGTTCAAGAACAAATGATACAGAAAAGTCATGTCATGGTACAGAACTTCTTAATCTGCTGGTTTTGTTTTTTTCTTGCTTCACACGGGTTATAGTATACTGTAGAATTTACCTGTCCAAACTAGGTGATTTACCATTTTGAAAATTTTGTAAGAGTTAGTGTATTTGGTTTGCATGGCAAGGTTTTGGTAGCAGAGAAGTTACAGGGGTGGCTTCTGTGAGAAGCTGCTGGAAGCTTCCCCCATGTCCAGTTAGAGCCAATGGCAGACACTCAAAGATGGAGCCACTGCTGTCCAAGGTTGAGCCCATCAGTGACAGCGTAGCACCTCTGGAATAATGTGTTTAAGAAGGGGGAAAAATGGCAGCATGACAGCAATTGCAGCCAAAGAGAGGAGCAAGAATACTTGAGAGAAAAAACTCTGCAGACACCAAGGTCAGTGCAGAAGGAGGGGAGGAAGTGCTCCGGGTGCTGGAGCAGAGATTCCTCTGCAGCCCGTGGTGCAGACCATGATGAGGCAGGCTGTCCCCTGCAGCCCATGGAGGTCCATGGTGGAGTTGATACCCACCTGCAGCCCATGGAGGACCCCACATCAAAGCAGGATGCCCGAAGGAGGCTGTGACCCTGTGGGAAGCCCTGGAGCCTGGCAGGATTTGTGATCTGTCGTGGTTTAAGCCCAGGTTTAAGCTGAACCCAGGACATGATCCCACAGGGACCCATGCTGGAGCAGTCTGTTCTTGAAGGACTGCACCCCATGGAAGGGACCCACGCTGGAGCCGTTCATAAAGAACTGTAGCCTGTGGGAAAGACTCACATTAGAGAAGTTCATGGAGAACTGTCTCCCATGGGAGGGTCCCCACGCTGGAGCAGGGGAAGAGTGAGGAGTCTTCTTCTGAGGAGGAAGGAGTGGCAGAGATAATGTCATGAACTGACCACAACTCCCATTCCCTTTCCCACTGGAGGGCGGAGGTAGAGAAAATCAGAAGTCTGGGAAGAAGGGAGGGGTGGGGATAGGTGTTTTAAGATTTGGGGTTGTTTCTTTTTATCCTACTCTGATTTGATTGGTAATAAACTCATTACCTCAAGTAAAATCAGTGACAGTAATTTGTGAGTGATGTGTCCCTGTCCTTATCTTGACCCACAAGCCTCTCATTTTATTTTCTATCCCATGTCCAGCTGAGGAGAGGAGTGATAGAGCAGCTTTGGTGGGCACCTGTAGTCCAGCCAGGGTCAACCCATCACTGTTCATTAATTATTTATGGCTAGAAAAAACCAACCCAAAAACCAAACACACACCCCCTGAAAACCCCAAACCCCCCCAAAAAACCATCATAGGTTCACAGGGCAGGCATTTGTCAATTTAGAAAGACTGTAATGCATCATACATCTCTTTCATGCCTTAAACACAATTCTCCATTGCTTATATTGATTGTAACAATTGTCATCACTGCGAGATTAACAACTAGAATGATCAGGGGTTTTTTAATGTGTTCAGGTGAACTGCAGTTGATGCAATGCTGTAAATTGTTGTAATAAGTAAAGGTGGTCAGAGAAGCAGATATTATTTTTCAGGACAGAATAGAAATCAAATGTAATTCTGGATTCCCCAGATGGGTATATTTCAAAAACCAGCAGAATTTCTTCAGTGATGACTTATAAATCTAGATTTTTCTACTCTCTCTGATGCTCTGTTGTAAGTAAATAGTGCATAACTTTCTAAACTGTTGTTTCTGTTACTGTATTTTTTTTAGAATGTGCATGTGAAACAATCCCCAAACCTCAGTGCAATCTGGTATGGAATTAATCTTTGTGAATATTCTTTTCTTGATTTCTTAATAAATCTATTTCTCAGTATCTTACTAATAGTTTTATCAGTGAAATATGAAATGCTATGTCATTCTTTTTTTTTATCGCTTTACAGGAAGATACACTCATTTTTAAGAAGCCAGTTAAGTTTAAATATCTTGCAGAATAAAATGGCAGTATAGCATTGATATTTCTGGAGTTTTTTATGATCATATCCTCCCTAGAAGTATTTGTAGTGTGAAAATGCTTTCATGCACCAGAGGATAAAATTTTGTTTTTAAAGGGTCAGAAAGAAAATCTTTTAAAGCATCAGTGTTTTGTTAATATTATTTGTTATAGTGAGTATGTTAAGACATGTCATGCACTCAGACTGCCGACAAAGCAGAAACTGTGTTCCATTGTGACTTGTTCTGCATTGCAAAAGTGCTTATTATCATTGCTGGGTTAGGTTCTTGATCAGTACTGGGTATACTTAATTTTGCTTGTTATTATTTTATGCAGAAAATAATATTGCCATGTGAGTAATTTACAAAAATTATAGTTTGGAATCCTAGGAAGGAATTGAAAATAGCATTCACTTTTATAGAGGAAATTCAAAATGCTCTGTAAGCGAGGTTGTTGTTAGTAGTTTCACTTCATAGAGGAAGAAACTTGGGCATACTTGCAGAAAACTAGGAGAAAAAGTTTAATATGCATACATATAAACCATAAAAGACAAAAATTAAAAGTACATCTGTGCTATTGTAATATTATTTCCATCCATTAAGTTATTCCATGAAAGAATATGCTCCACACTGCATGGAGATTTCTGTACAAAGGCAAGCCATTGCTTTTCATTTTTGGCCTGCCATAGTCTTTTCTGTCCTAAATGTCTGCTGTACTGACACCAACAACCATTCCTCTTTTTCAAGTGTAAAAAATTCTCATGTGGTTGTCATTGCCAAATTAAGTGTCCCTGTGGGTGATGAAAATGGATTCGAAATAGGTTTCTAGGGGCAAGAGATACTGCTATTCAAATCCTTAATGAAAGGTTTTTAAAAGAGAAAGATCATACAGATGAGAAAACACTGTTGTTTCAGTTAACTTTTTTTTTTTTCTGCTTTTATACACTTAGGGCCAGAAACTTCAGATAGATGATCAGTTTCAGAACAGTACAGAAAATACCTGTAACTGTATTAAGTACAAATGCGGTAAGTCAGAAAAGAATTTAATTCAAAGAAATACTCTTTCAAGTACTAAGGTAAATTAGGAATTGTGAATCAGATGTTCACTTTTAGCATAGTACTGAGGAGGAAAGGTTTGACTGACATAATTCAGAAATAGTGTAAGAAAAGGCAAAAAAATAGGACTGCTCACTAAATACTTGATTGATTATGGCCTGTCCTTGTATTCTATTAGTTCCTGCAGCAGGAGGTCTGTGCAGGGAAATAGCAGCATTTTGGGCAAACTGAGTGGTGTTGACTGAGCAGCCTGCATTTTGCTGAGCTGGAGTTAGGATTTCAGTAAGAAACTAAAACATACACTCAATGTCCACAAAAAAAGTCTCACTAACCCATTATGGGACTGCTCAGGAGCTGGTGGCATGGTTATGTGCTTTACAAGGTCAAGGATAGCATTCAGCACCATGCAAATTCATCTTAAAGCATGCCCAACAGCATCTGGGAAAACTTGGGAAAAAATAATTCCTGTGGGGCACCAAATTGGCCAACAGAGTTGGGATTGTCCTTGCCTCGATCTCTACAACAAAAGATGTATACTTCTGAGCTAATTATCCTCTGTGCTCTTAGTAATCATTGGGGAGAAACAGACATTTCTGAGGTACATTTCTTATCATAAGTAGCCTTATAAAACAAATCAGTTGAAGAAGCCTACACTGTCACTATGGTGGTTCAGCTAATAGAATATTACATATTTATTTAGGTTGCATGCATGGTTATGTTTGAAGTAATTTGGCAATTGTAGTGAAGCATTAGACTGCTATTGAAAGTTTATATTTGCAAATTTGACCCATAATTCTTAGAGGGAGGGTAGCTTTTTCCATTCCTGTTTTACTGTTTGAAACATTTTTTAACAGAGTTTTGATACCAAGTTGATTGTCCTGAGTATGCTGTTTATTTTTGTGTTTTCTTGTAGTGAGAGACAAGGTTTGCCTGAGTAATGAGAGAGGTGTGCTGCTTCCTGGACAGGCAATTGTGGAACATGGCACAGATGGCATTTGCCGTATTTCTTATTGTACAAATGTGATTGATACCTCCACTAAATACTACCGAATAAACCAGTCTTCAATAGACTGTGCTGTCAAGTGCAAAGCTGTAAGAGATTCAGATCTGTAGACATGTATATTGTAACTGGTGGTCGTAATTATATTTCATTTGGGTTTGTTGAGTAGCTGCAGTTGTAGGAACAAGATGGAAAGAGTAATTGTTAGATCTCCCCCTATGCTACTGCGTTTCTGATGGAAATTTATAAAAGTCTCACTTTTTTCCCCCCCATGTAAATCTTATACAAACTGAAGTATACAGCATACTGCCCCCTTGCATCCCTATACAACTTCAGCTGTATTATGCACAAAATGGTATAAACTAATGGCAGACATTAGCATAATCAGAATTGGGAAGAGAATAATTGTAAATAAAACAAGAATTCAAAATGTGGTGAAAGCAGCTTTATAAAATAAGCAAATGATATGTTGTCATTTTACAAAGTATGATTGCTATGGGAATATTGTATAGATGACTTTGTCTAGTTATGTACTGACTTGATTTCTAATGTGTAAGAAGTAAAAATTTCAGTGGTTCTTGAAGTAAGCTGTCAGTCTTACATTTGAAAATGGTAGAAAGACCAGTTCATTCTCTCAGAGTTCGAACCTCTTCCCATTTACTTCAATTAACATCAGAGGTATTTTATAAAAGTTTCATGAATGTACAGTGTGTCCAATTGTAACCTAAGTGATTTTGAAAGTTAGTTAAAAAATCCCTAAAATCAGATATAAAAAAAAAAAACAATCCAAATTGCCCATTGCAGTAATAAATGTCAAGCTGCAGGATGGTCTTATACAAGGAATAACCTATTTGATTTTGGCAGAACCAAGTCTATCAGCCTCCAAAAGATTTATCAACTTGCTGTGGTAGCTGTAAGAACTTGTCTTGTCTTCACACTTTCAGCAACGGCACAGTTTCCAATTTTAAGGTAAGTCTATACATGTCTTACTTCCTCAAAATATTTAGAAGTAAGAAAAAAAGTTATGACATACTGTACACACATTGCCATATAAAACGTGCAAAGAAGAGATTTGTTAGATGAAATACTAGGAATAGTTTTGCATGTGCACAACATTAATTTCTTGGAGAGCCAGTCATATACTTGTCTACGAAGATTAAGGGATTTGATATAGCAGAGAATTATCATCAACTTGGTTATTTTAGAATCTGTTTAACATTACGTATTTCATGTACTGTCAAGTTGAGTGCTTCAACAGAACTGTAACATGAATTTAAATTATATATTGCCATAAGTATTACTTTTGATTCAGACAGGATGACATTCAGTGGAATTGTATTATAAATACACATAATACTGTTTTTTTGCCAAGTTGCCAAGTAAAGTTTCTATTTTACAATTTTTTAACAGCCTGGAACTGTGTGGATTTCAAACTGCATCAGATACGAATGCATTAACACAGCAATAGGGCCAGTTCTGGTTTCCTCTCCAGTTGGCTGCCCACCGTTTAATGAAACTGAATGTGCAAAGGTCAGTGTTTGATACATTGTTTGCATGATTTATGTTTGCATGAAAAGATTAACACTGACAAAAGATGTTTTTACCCAAAGAAGGGAGAAATTAAGAATTCTCACAATGCCTGCATTTTTGCCCAGGCATTTGAAGGTGAGAAACTCTAACTATACAAATACAGTGTGCCACCAGGCTTCTCAATTACACAGCTGAGAGACCTCTTCTGATGCTCAGAAAATACTTTTTTTCATAGAGGCTTTTAATACCAAAATAGTCCTCATACAGCTGTTTGAACTTGGATGATTTTCTGGGTTGGACGTTTCCTTTCTAACTGATTTTCTGTGTATAGCAATTTGATTTGTTACAATTGAATATCAGGAAAATAATTTCTACAGTGAGACATAAAGTTTTGTGGACTAGTTTTGCAACAGAAGCAAAAGCTCTATTTGAATTTGCAAAATAAGGTTAAACTAAATGCCAGAAAACGTAGGCAGGCGACATCTCGTATTGCTTTCTGTAACTATACATTTACGTGTGGATGGGAGGATACTTCTTTTAATGAATGATGGTACACAAGCAGAGAAGAGTCCTAAAGAAACTAGCTGCCTGTAGTTCTTCCTTGCAGATAACAATGGATTGGTTCTTCAGAGAGTCTCAGTTATGTAGGAGGCGAAAGGCTTTTAGCTGTGGATATCAAAAACTGAACTCTGCTTCAATGTACTCGAGACAGCTTTTGAAAAAGCTGCGGCTGTTCTTCCCACAGTACTCTGGAGAGTGCTTCATGCTACAGCACTGAAGACAGCCATGGATCTCCTTTATGGGAAGTGGGTGACTTCTCATTTAGATGAGATTTCTTCCTGCTTTGAATTCAGAATGAGGGGAGTTGTGATGTTTGTGATTTTTTTTTCCTTTTTTTTTTTCTTGGTGATTGTCCATATGGCCTCTACAAAAAGTCAGGGGTTCACTCTAATGATGGAGGTGGACTTAGCACAGCCATTTCCTCTTCAAATGTGGGAGCCATTTTGATAGCTGGTAATGTATAATGGCGCCCAGTAAAAGCCGCCTAATACTCACTTGTGCTAAAACAGTCAAGTTAGATCATTTACAGCCAAACCTTCATCCATTCACCTGAGTGCTGCATTTGCCTGAATAATGTTGCAGAGCTTTATCTGGAAGATATTTCTAATAGTGCAGATATATGGGCATGAATGTTAGAAAAAATCAAGTTTTTTCCTCTTTATTTCTTTTTTGGTCAGGTTGGAGGCTATGTTGTGCCATTCTTAGAAGGATGCTGCAAAACATGTAAGTGATTAATGACAATTCCTGCCTCACAAGTCTGTCTGATATGTTATTACCTTAGAAACAAGATTGATTCTTTCCTGCATGAAAGCTTGATTCACTAATCCCAAGGGCTATTCTTTTCTCAGTTTTACTCGTGTAAATATCAATGAAACTAGTGGAGGTAAATCAGAAGAAAGCAGTTTAAAGGGCTTACTCCACTGAAAATGATTGTGGCTGGCCAAGTTACTAAAATTGCTACCTTGAGTATTTTGTATTTCTCATGTAAAATTCCTCAAAATATTAGTTACTACATTTAATGTAATAAAATATAGTGTTTTGAAAGGCACCTTCAAACATGCTTCATCTGCATTCGTATCTTTAGTAAAAGTGAAGATTGATCTGTGCAGTTTCTAAATTGATACTGTAAATAATTAACTGAATGTAATATAGTCTTAGGGTCCATTAGTAGACATAGTTCAGAAGCTTTCAGGCAGTATCTTTTAAAAGAATTTGTAATAAAGACACCTCCCTTAATTGATTACCAAGATATATTTTGACATCTATGAAAGCTAATGAAAGTTCTTTGGAAAAAAATAAAATAACAAATTCCTTACAGAATAGGTTCCAAATATGCTAATGCTTAATATAAACAAGAGCTAAGTATATTTTTTCTTAACATATTAGTACATAGCTGAAAGGTTTTGTCTGATTTCGTGAAGCACTTAGACTTAGGCAGATACCTAACCTGAAGAAATTACGATCAAATGCTTGAAGTTGACAATGTTATAAATAATTATAAAGGAGATTTTATACTGGACAGTGTATTGTACTGTTTTTAAAAGCTGCAAGAATCTCACTTCGTTTGCACAAAAGGCTGGAGTAATGACCTAAAAACTAAAGACAGTAGGAGATAAATTGTGGGAGAGAATTGGAAAAAAATGCAGGTATCTCCTGCTGGGTGGGATGGAACTTGACATGACTACCAGATATGGTACCCTGTGCACAGTTACTGCAATGGGATATATGTTGCCAAGTGGGAGGTATTTTTTGGTGTTAATCACTATGTATTACATTTTGTAGTACAAAGTTTGTTGAAACTGTGGAAGATTTATCTGCTTTTTTGCTGCTCCACATCACTGTGAGGGAATGGAAATCTCTCTCGTGTGTTTTCACTCTGATGGACCTGTGTTTCAAGCACTTGTCCTAGTTCTGTAGCCAAATCTCCATAGGCTCTTTGAGATTAGTTTTTGATATCTGCCATTACCCTTCAATGCCTTAGCAGCCATATAGCACAGATTCTGAACAGTTTATTAAGACCATTAAAAATCCACTAAGCTACTTTTCAGCAAGGTAGAAGATCTTGCTACGATACTTACAGAAAGATCATAACCACACTTTCAGATAATGAAATGAAACTAAGTTAATAATCTGAGGCATGCATCACAAAGTAAAATTAAACCCTTGAAATATCTAGTGACTTCAGAGATGCTCAGAGAAAATGATACTATTTCTTTCTTTCAGCTCTAAAGGACAACTCAGATTTAGGTATCAGATTGTCTTAGTTATACTAATGTAGATCAGATCCTTCCTGGTTTTGGCATTAGGCTTAGCAATGTAAATAATACCTGGACATGGTCCTGAGCTGCCAGCACAGTGATGCTGCTTGAGATGACTTCCAGACGTCCTGACATCAGCCATTCTGTCATCCTGTAATAAGCTTGAATTTTTTTCTCAAAGATGCTGAAATCTAGTAAATCCAAATTGTTTCATACTGATAGGGAATCCTCTGTAACATGTACTCTGTTCAATATGTAATATTCTTACCAGGTTCTTCAGTGTCAATGCTCCTCCCATTCCCTGTTAGCCCAGTCACTCCTACAGCTTATGCTAGCTGTTACACAGGTACATTTTCCTGGAAATAAGTAGGACTAACCCAAACAGCATCATTGTTGATTTCCAACAATGTACTCCCTGATAGGAATGTCAGGCTTCACGTTACCCAATTATGGCGCAAGCTGCAGTGTAGTATAACTGCTCACAGTTCAGAGTGGCTCACATTTTGGTTTTATTTTGTTTTTCATTTTGCACTGTGTGGGCAGTGCATTGTTGTTAGCCAACAATGTACTGTTGGTAGTAAGCACTCATGTAGTTTTTAGCTTGCTGCATGTATAAAATTGCCATGTTGAAAAATGTTTTACAGTGCTGTGGAACATTGAGACTGATGGCTTTGCTTGTTAAAGCTTATTCTGTAAGCAACATTTTCACTGATGATGTATTGTATAGTCTGGCTTCCAGTGGCATGTACAGTAGAGCAGCTCATTTCTTTCCCATCCGTATTTAAGACAGTATACTGAAAATAACTATCCTGTGTTTACTCCATAAAAGCTGGAGATTATCTTTGTTCTTCTTAATAGAGTATGTTAATTTTTTTATTTGTGACATGGAATGAATGCAATTGTTTTGCATGTGTGAAAACATCTCTCTATATTTCTGTAAGAAAGATGATGTTGACTGTAATTTTGTACATCACTGAATGATATATCCCTCATTAAATTCCACTTATGACTCCAGGAATGCCACACTGAAATCTATGCTACTCTTGCATATTGACATCACTTTAAATGACAGCAGTGTTACAAGTCAACCCAAAAACCAAGCAGAGATTTTCAATTGTACAGACTGTGAAAAGAATCTCATCATATTACAACATGTATAAGATGCTCACATTTTGTAAGGTTGATGATGGAAAAGTGTATTGTGTTGTAGAACTCATTAAAAGCCACTGGACATTAAAGTAGATGCATGGAAATACATTCTACATTTATTTCTTTGAGAAATGGAGGGCCTGGATGAAGCCATAGCCATAGCTGCATGGAATCCTCCATCCTACACACCATGTATAATGTAAAAGAAGAAAGGACATGAATAGGACTGTGAGAAACATGAAATAATGGTAAGGTTTTTATTTTCAAAAACAATGAATTTTTTTCCCTCATTTCTCAATTTTTTCCCTAAGCAAACTTAATTCAGTGATAGTCGAGCAGTAGCCAGCCATTTCTGATTGTACTCTTTTATTTGCTTCCAAGAAGACTGACTGCTGTCCTTTCTTTCATGCTCTAGAAACCTCTGCTATATCTAGAAACAGTAGCATGATTACATATTAAAAAAATAAAATAAAAAAATGCAAACCCCAAAACCCAACACAAAAGATGATTCTGTTTGGGAAGCAGTATTACCTGGTTTGACAGTGATTAGAGCAGGGAACTGGACATAGTACATCAAGATGTAATAAACCTCAGCTCAGTATTGGGTATTGGTCAAACCAATGAGTCTTTCATTGCCCATGCTCTTCTGGAGCTAGCAGTATCGCCTTTTGTCAACACCTTTGAGGTTTTTGGCTGCAAGAAAATGCAGCTTTCTAAGTGGAGAGTCATGTGGGACTGCATCATAGTGTGTAAAATCTCCTGTGAACCCTGTGGAAGCTGGTATAATGAAATGGACTATTCATTTCTCTTACAGATCTGCAACGTGATGTGGGTTCTTCAGCACAAAGAGGATCATCGTAAGAAGATACTGTGCTTTCTGTTCTCCAACAACTGAACTTTATGCTGAACTTTGCTTTTCTTCAAATGATCATGATTCCCTTCTGAAGTTTAACTCCTTATTTCATTTACTGATTTCTTCTTACATTTTTTATTTCATCCATATGCTTTGTACACACTTCTGTGAGAAAAATTGTGGAAATAATGCTAATAAAATCTAAATTAAAAATTTTGTTTGATTACTGGTGTTCTTTTTCTTATTTAATAAAGACATATAGAAATGTAAAGCCCTCTGAAGCCCTATTCTTCATCAGACTCTGCTGTTAAGTGTTCAGTTTAACTTTGTATATGCCACTGGAATGCAATTGCTGCCATTAAAGTTTGTTACAGTTATTTCATAGAAAATGCATTTTATGCATTATTAGCAAGCCTTCTCCCAGGAGTGGTTGATCAATTTTACAAAATTCTTTGAAAGACAGTGGACTTTCTCTTAAAAGGCTTCTGAGTGAAGAATGAATCTTTTATAATTGTTATTGAAGAGATCAGAGATACTTTAATGAATGAAATAGAAAAGCTTTAAAAGCAATGCAATGTATGTAACTGCCAAAGTTTTGTATGTGTAGTGATGTATTGGGTATTTTCTTCTTTGTGTTTCTTGACACCATAAAATGTTCAGGAATATTCTTGTCACTGAAATGTTTAGAATTTTAAGCTAATATTTTTCAACCAATACCCCTTTTGCAGGTAAGGAAGATGGTAAATTCTGCAAAAAGGTGACTGTTAGGATGACTATCCGCAAGAATGACTGCAGGAGTAACACACCAGTAAGTAAATCACCATCACAATTTCTTTCAGTAGGCGGGAAAAAATATGAGAAATAAAAAGAAGGAAGAAAAGGAACACAAATTCCACAAGGCTATTGTCTGCATTTCTCTTTCACCGACACAGAGGTTTCTGTGTTTCATAGAGCTTTTTCAATGTTTCTCCCCATTGTCAGCAATGATCTTCTCTAATAATAAGAACAAGGGGGTATGAATTCTGCTTTTGTAAGCACTTAGGCATACAAAATAATGCAATTATTATATGCAAATTAAATTTGATATAACTGTCAGTGACATAGTACAGTTGTGTTTAATTTCCATCTGTTTAGGGAAAGTAATAAAATGCCAACTTCATGAAGAAAGCAATCTTGGGTCCTGAAGGCTTGGGGCTGTTTTTTTTCAGACAGTAGCGTGAGCATACTGTGAAATGTGCAGGCAGAATGAGGCACTACCCATGTATCTGCCGAACGATTTACTGTAGGAGCACACTAACAATGTCCTGGGCAGTAAGGCAGTGTGAGCAGCAGCAAGGGTACAGACAGGCGTCTTAAGTGAGATATGTAAGAGTGCCTTGAACAGCTGTAATAAAAGAGAATAGGGAAACAGCTGTAACCTCTAAAATTACTCTGAAAGTACATTTTGTAGAGTAAACCATTGAGCAGTCAGCAAATTTAGTCTCAGTGTCTCATTGAACAGAAATATAAATCCCGACTATTAAACTTGAAAAAATTATCAATTTATATGACTGTTTCTGTTATGGTCTGTATTACAGTTTTGGTATCATTAGTAACAATTTCCTTTGCCTTTCCAAAGGATTGATTCTTTATATTCGTCCTTACTGCTACTAGTATAACAACACTACATCAGCGTATCACTGAAATTAATACTGTAGGGAGTTTTAGACAGAATGTTTGGTGCTCTATTCAAGCTAAGGTTGTCATGAATACTTTAAAATTCAAAACCAAAGTTGTTTCTTTGTGTCTGTTAACAGCCAAAATCTGCTGTTACTGAAATTGACGGTAAAGTCATCATTCATCTCAATAAGCTAAAAATTGAGACCTGTGTGTGCAACATTCTTCAGTTTATTACTCAGATATTGTGGGATTTCCTAAGGGGTAGAAGACATAACTCAAAATTTTTCACTGCTTTGCCATTGGATATGGGAGTCTAGTATCTTTGAACTTTCCTGAGGACTCCTAACTTTATTTCATAGCTGTTTCAATTTGCTGATTAGTCTTCATGTTTGTTACCAGGTGAACATTGTTTCATGTGATGGAAAGTGTCCCTCTGCAAGTATTTACAACTACAACATCAACACATATGCAAGATTCTGCAAATGCTGCAGGGAGCTTGGACTACAGAGACGAACTGTGCAATTGTATTGCACCAGTAATTCAACCTGGGTCAGCTATTCAATCCAAGAGCCTACAGATTGTTCTTGCCAATGGTCTTAAAAAAACTTGAAAGAAAGCAGCAAGCCCAGCTGTTCCCAGTATAAGATAATATGAATAGTTTATCTATTAAAAATACAATACCAAATCCACAGAATTTTTCCAATTTAATGCTAAAAGAGTCAAAATATTTTTGGAGTCTTCTAAATTTCAGAATAATTTTTTTTCATTTTATTGTGATTTGTCTTCGTGTTCATTCACAGGCACTGCTTAAGAGTTCTTGTGATATGTGCCAACTTAAAAGCTGATTTACATTAGAGACACCACAAGAGCAAGAATACCCTCTGTTTTGTTCTGGAAGGCTGGCCCATTCTTTGTCAGGCACACAATCCTGTTTTAACTCACTGACTAACTTATCTGGCAGCAGTTCCCTATTTTGAATGCATTGCAATTGTGCAAATACATTCAGTGTCTTTTAAGAAAAAATGTTTGGACAACGTGAGATGAATTTTCAGTTTAAATCATATACCTATTGCAAAGTAAATCATGTATAAGAAATTCAATTAAAGATATATTTTTTTTTAATCAGGGAAATATTGTCAATACTGATAACTGTACTTTATATTCCCTGGTAATAATTTCAGTTTTTCTAGTTTATTTTATATTGTAGTGACAAACATTATGGCAAAAGTAGTTTATGAACAGATAGACTGTTTTTAGGCTATCTAGATTAGTCATTAGTAGTTACTTTATCTTTCTGCTAAACAATATGACATAAACTGAAAATACACAAACGAAAACCATTTTACTTTATATATTCTATCTGTAGAATATATATATTTTATAGATAGAATGTTTAAATGAAAACATTCTGCTTATGAAAGGCACCATGCTTAAACTGGTTTTGTAGGAGAATGAACTTTGTTTAACAGTAATTTTAAAGATGTGAAAATTCATTAGGAAAAAGAAAACCAGGATTATGTATCTGCCTAAAAGAGAAACAAAGTTGAAAATCTTGGTCACCAGTATAGTAGAATGTACCTTCTTATGGCAAGTACTCGATACTGAAAATGTACAATTATAAGGTTTGAAAATTCAAAAGCTATTTTGCTTATCAACTTGAACAATCCATTTCGTTGTAATGAACTAACTTTTTTTTCCTTTAAGCTAATGTTGCTGTTTATTCTTTTCCAATGATTGCCACCAATATGCAGCAAAAATTCAGTAGCTTTTATTTTGTAGATTTCAATTGTAGATAGCACATAGTGATATACTTGAGATCCTATAATAGAAAATAGATATCAACATAACTTCTTAAATGACTGCTTGTCTGCAGTTAATCCAAAGAAAAACGTGTTGTTAAAATCAATCATGTGAACATTTTTGATATTAATTTTGTATACTGTACATTTCATTCTTACAATATCTAATAAACAACAGGAAGTCTTATTTTGTTACAATTAATTTTGTTATCATTGTTAAAGCAGCTTACTATCGTGCGATTTAACACACGGTGTTTAGTAATTTCTTTTGCAGCGCTGCACGTGGTTAATTTTAGGGTTTGCTTCTATCACTGGTACTAGTGATCTTACACTGCAAGAAGACTTGCATGCATGTTTTTGAAAATTATATCTTTTTCCTCATTACATCACAGTTCACTTTCATCCTCAGAAATGCAAAATGCAAAAACAACACATTTTTGACACCAAGTGTCCGATAGGCTGTTTGTTCTGGAAAAACTGGGGGAAAGGGGTGAATTTCTGCACAGTACCTTTCCCCAGCTTTTTCCTAAACTGTCCCTTAGGATTGGCTGCAGTGAGTCGACTGTGTTTTGAGTAAGTCTAGGCATCTTCTTACAATACAGTTATTGTGTAGTGATGATTACCCTGCAGTAGATAGGGCCAAGTAAGTTGTAAAGATCTAGCTGGACTATGTGCAGTCCCTACCCATTTAGTTTCCTTTGCTCTCAAGCAAGACGGTATTAGCTGTGAAGTGCCAACCACCAGCATGAGGGACAGAATAAGAGCTGGAATTAGGCCAGCCACCATGCTTCCCTTGGCTGTGGTCTGGTCCCTTCTCTTGCCACTTGAGCTAATGGCAAAGCCTTCATTGATCCCAGCAGCACAAGGCAGTTAAATCTGAAAACCATTCAAGATACAAACTTTGAACTCTTGGTTGAAGAGTAAAGTTAATACTGGCAGTGAGAATAGAAAGCAGACTGTAGTGTTTCCAGTAATTGTAATCAAACACTGCTGCTGCTTCTACTTCAGGAGTAAAACAATAAACATCATGTTAAGTCCCTACTTACGGTTTTGTAAACATTAGGCTTATGCTGACAGAAACAGGGGAAAGATCCAAACTGCCTATGGCTTGACAGGGGAAGCTACTTTTACCCCTGCCTCATTGTTAATTCCTTCACAGCTGCTTATCCTGTCTGTCTGTGGTTAGTTCAACCTGGGCCCTTAACATGTATTTTCTTTACACTGTGTTCACACAAAGCAGCTCAACTGGAAAAAGACTTTTTACCTTACTTGTACTTCCATGTCTCTGGAAACCAAAGGGACCTCAATGACCTCCGGGTTTCATATGACCCTCCCATGCAGGAGGCACTTCAACTGTAACAATATCTGGGTCCTAAACCAACTTTACTTTCTTTTTACTAAGAAGTTGTCGTTTTGCTTTATTAGATAGGTGTAATACAAAAGGTATATAGCACTGAATCTGTACTCTTTAGAATACATGCATTTTACTATCACAATCTTGTTTGTGTCTTTATTACATTTAAAGGCATATGAGCACTTGCAGCTAATAAAATATTGGAGCTTTTATGTAAGGTCTTATAGTGACAAAAGTTAAATCCTGTATTCAGTACATAAACCAAATTGCTGCAGGGAAACTTGCTTTCTAGAAGCATTGCTGCCATGACCTGTTCCATTGTTACTGTCATTCCTGTTGCAGCAGTGCACTGCACATGATTCAGGGACAAAACCATGACTGGATCCTCCAGTGAGTTCAACCACGATTTCTTGCCGTGTTTTGTAGAACAGTGTTTCCAAGGGATGTAAAAAAAAACCAAACCCAAAACCAAATCAACCAAGTGGCTTTAGAAGCCCAAGAGAACAAAAAAGCTGCTTATGTAGCAGACACCCGGTAGTATTTTGGAGGGCCACCTCATCTGGGTGACTGCTGGGGCAGCAACAGGTGTGAAGGCCAGAGCAAACAGGCAGAAGAAAATGCCTGTGCTGATGCCATTCACTCACTGCCTCTCAGGGGGAAGCCTGAAAACCTTAAGGAGAGGCCTCCTCCCTCCAACTAAAAAGCAATTGGCACCAGCTGAAGCCTGTTTCTTGTGGGGAATAAAGGCAGAGGTGGTGCTGGGCTGAGTGACTGTGAGATGAAAATCAGCCTGGGAAGGGCAAGAGTGAGGTGAGGATTGTTTTGTTGAGCTATCTCTTTATGTTGGAAGAGAGGAATTCCCAGTTGATGTGGTGTCTGGGGGGCTGTAAAATGAGGGGCAGGAGGTGTGTGGCCTTAGAGCTCTGGCAGAGGTCTTTAATCTTTCCGTTGTGCCTATCTTGGTGTGGCTGTGAGAAAGATTTGAAAAGTTAATCTTTTGGTCTGTAAAAGCTGGCTTCCAGGTGGTGAAAGAAGCAAGCAAATAAAAATGGCGATTGTTGGAAAGCTTTGGCTTTTCCAACAAACTGTGGTGTTTCCAAGGTGCTGGAAAGCTTTGTGTTTGTACAACCATGTTGAATTAGCTTTTCAGGCTGAGCTGAGGGATGTGGCTCTTGGCTGGAGAGCAGACCTGTCTCGCTTCTGTAAATCTGTGACTGGTGGTTGCTAGAGGAAGGCACAGCCACTGATGTTCTCTAGTTTTCTTGCCTTTTGTTGGCTCCAAGGCTATCTGCAAAAATGGACTTCTAGGGGCTCATTACATCAAACTTGGATATGGTGCTCAGGTGATTCCTCCAAGTAAGCACCCTTGGTGCTTGGCTGGCAGACATCTTGTGGCTGCTGCTCTGCAAGGCTGCGTGCATTGTGGAGTTGTTTATCCTCAATAAAAGAAATCAAATGTGAAAAATTGTTTTCAGACTTCTCTAATGTCATGGTCAATAAGTTTGTTTGTTTAACATGAATAAGAATGCTGTGGGAGTGAAACCTTGACCTTCTTGAAACCGAGGCCTGTTCCGTTTCTTCATGAGTCTCAAAACTTTACTGCCCCTCTGAGGGCCATGTTCTACTCACATGTGTTTGCGTATGTGGAGTTTCTCCACAAAAATGATTCCTAATGTAGGTACAGAAATATCACAGACTTGTATCTTGTTAGAACCAGGTTTAAAATCTTTCCAGTGCTGGATTGTTTTCCATCTTTGAACAAAACAGTTGGTGATTTGAGTATGGAAACACTTCTTGTTATGGTCCTTATTACTTATTGTTATCTCCTTTAAAAAAACCACCTTACATACATTACCTCAAGCAAGCTTACCCAGTCATGATTCACAGGAAAATATAAATGATTTGGCAGCTGGAGCCTTAAGTATGATGAATATTGGCTATTAAGAAAAGCCTTTAAAAAGAGATATAATGATATCAATTGTGCTATCTAAACCCTCACTGTCTGGGTTATTAGTACGTGATGTGGTCTCAGGATAACAGTCTCTTGAGTAATGCTTCCTCTAATTAGTGGTAGTGCTGCCTGGTGGTTTGGTCAATTAATCTGAAACATTGGCATTTGTTGGTCTACAGTTTAATGCGAACTATTAGTCACAATTAAATAACTTGCATCTCCTCAGACAGCCTTTCAAGTGTGCAGTCCATGAAGTCGGACCAAAGCCACTTGAAAAACTTCATCCTCGCTCTTCTCTGCCCACACCATCATCTTTCTCCCCAGATCAAGTGTCTAGCCATGAATAATTAAAATGCAGTAACAGCTGCTATGCAGATGGGGATTTTTTATAAAAAGATCCCTTCTCAGTCCAATGAAGATATTTAACCTCTTTAGGAATAGTACCTGACAGCCTGCCACCCCCCAGGTCTGCTTTCTGTATAGGCTTTTGACCAAT